AAATGTGGTCAGGGAAAACAAACATTTGTCGCTGTTTCTTACAAACTACCAATGCTTATTTCCATGAAAGTAGCCAACTACGCCCAACGTAAAGAGGCCTTATTTCATCTCATTCTGTCTACCCCGTTTGCATCACAGCAGCAGTTGTGAATTACTGATTCTTGCACAATGCCTATTGCCACTTACCATGCGTTTAGCCAGCTTAACCTAATTTAGAGTAGCCCATATGTTGAACATCATCTCAGCTCACCTATCTGTTGACAGCAGCACTTGTAATAAGAACATGATAAAGCTAATTTTTGGCTGGTTTCAACCAGCATTTTTATACATTTTATTTCTGTATGCTTGTCGACATCAGAAAAAGTTGACAACACACAAATCAAAACACCTAAAATCACTTTGAACAACTCATTTTGATTGCCATGGTTAACCTATGTCAAGGACAATAATGGGTATGCTCCACAAAACAATCTCTCTTTTCGAAAAGTAACATAACTTTTAGATGACCATGCCTGTATTGCTGCTCGCCTTTTCAGCTGAAGCAAAGGTATCTATTAAGGCGTTTTAATTCATATTTAACGACAAAGTTTGGGATGTTCGCTTCACAGTTTAAATGGGATGGTCTGACTATTTGCTACATACTAGCATTTAACTCATATCGTAATTGCTATGCAGCTTAGAATATCCCTGTGTTAAAAATATAGTGCACTTATACAGTACAGTCATTTGCCAGTCAGCAAACCATGACAAGTATAGAAAACATCTGGTTAAAGCGGCCACGAGGGACCACTTCAATAAATTTTGGGCAAATAATCAAGAATATGGAACAAAATAAGTCCATTGCATGCCCTGTAGCATCATAATTTGTCTCATGACAAAACTCGATGAATGAAAACAAAAAAATGATTAACTCTGGTTACCGATTATGTGTTGAAAGCAGGTAAGGTAAGCAAGTAATTGGTCCACAGGAGACTTACTGGCTTCTTCCTGCTCCCCTGAATCAAAAAGTCAGTACCTTTTGCATGGTCTGCTGGCAGACAGAGTCCCCCCCCCCACCCCCCAAATGTGAATATCAATCATGTCCACCAACCTACAAGATTAAAATGCGAAACAAATAGGAGGTGTGCATGGTAAACATCTCCAGAGGGCAAAATTTCGCCAACAAACACTTCTGTATTAGGTGCTTCAGGTCTGTCCCAAAGCTCTGTATGACGATATTAGGGCAGCCTTGCCAGGCAGCCTGGTGAGTTAGACGCCCGAAGGTCTTAGATTTATCATCATTGAGCACCGCCATGAACTAAGAAAACTGTTAAGCGAGGGTGTAACAGGGCAAAAATGGCGGTAAAAATAAGTTCGTGCTTCAAATTGTCTCTTCCTTCCCTGTGAATTGTTCACTCTTGGGTGATAATCAAACATATTTGGGCGGCTGACGAATTAATCCAATTTATGTGATGAAATACGCACAAGTTTGTAGTTGGAGCACCTTGCGGAGAAATTGGTCAACATTTTAAGCAACAGATGGTACCCCTAAAGGCAATCAAAAAGGAAGGAAGAATGAAGTGGTTTTGCCCTCGTGTGATACCAAGAAAAAAGGAGTTAAAGAAATACTGATACTTAAATATGTTTATATATTATATATAATATATAATACATACATAATAAATACTGATACTTAACTGAAAGACTGATACTTTTCTGGCAAAATTTTGTCATCAGCTGATTTGACCTAAAATATGTTAACATAAGTGCTCAAATGGTGACATTCATCTTGTAACTTAAATTTAGAAGACAAGTCTTGAGTTTTTCACTCCTGCGTTGAGGGATTGGTCCAATTTAGTGGTCCAGTTTCTTCGGGAAAAAGAGATACGTGGAAACACGTAAATTATCTACCAGGCCTTGCTGGTGTTTGCACCAGGCTCTGCTTTCGTGTTGTGGCGGCGAGACCAAAAAATAAGGGATGCGTGAAAACCTTGTATTTGGCACACAGCTGCTGATTGTGATGCGTTTTGTAAACAAACCAAACTAAATGTGTGCAAGCGGCTGGAGTCGCTGGGGCTCTTGGGCTTGGAGGTACCTGGCGCCCTTGCTCTGTGCATACATAAGCATAATTCAGAAGAAGGTGAGGCAGGACTCAGCCATAGGTGTCCGAGTTTTGTGGAGCCTCGTTTATCCTTCGTGGTTTCAAGTGAGCTCGGTTTTGGATGACATCTGAAAACCTCAGAAAGGGAAATAGGGGTTTGGCATGTGCGATTAGACAATGTCAGGCAGGAATGAAAAATTCACATAAAATATGGGACAAAAGAGTGAAAAATTTTTCCTCATAGGTTGTGCTTTACATCCAAAGTCGGCAGTTCCAGGACACTGCGCCTCCGCGTAACGAAAACGGTTGTTCATCAAACTTATCACCATGTTTGCACAATGGCCGCAGTCATGTTGTTCGAAATCTTCTGCCAGCGATGACAAGCTCTCTCTTCGGAAGGACATTCGCTGACGCGCACGACACGTTCGTGATATGAGCAGTGAATTAGTGGCATAAAGTTTTGGGGTCACCCGATAACTTTGTATTCCAGCAAAAATTTAGAGCACTTGAAATATCTGGTCAACGGAAACGAGCATATCGAAACGAACCAGACCATTCGATATTATTTGCAATTCCCTACAATCCTACGTTCGTAGCTTAAAATCCCTTTTTGGCTAGACGCAATCCAACGGGTGGATACGCAAACGGATGAAAATCTGAACAAGTAGCGGACATATATGCCTAGGTGATGATTTGGTCTTTTAAGCCATTTTTCTGGGATGCACGAAGCATTGCGCGTGATGAATGCCTTTGAGGAAAGTTGCAGTAAAAATGGGTATTCACCAGGACAAAACTGCAAGTGCCCGCTGACATTTGGTTGGATTGTGGCGCGACTGAACAAAGACGGATGCAAAGCTCCATATGTACAAAGGTGGTGGCTTTCGTTGTTTTCACCGCAGATAACATCAGCCACGTATTCCGATGGATTGTAAGCTCGTATACGATATAAAAAAGTGTGCCGGCGATGCATCGCTGGAGTCACATTCCTCAATGCAATTTTTAGCAGTTTCGTACTCCTTCATAAGACTCAAAACATGCAGCACAAAATTTTGATGTTTTTCTGTTAATGCAAAGCCTTCTACACATCTCAGGGTTCCACATTCTTCAACCAGAAGGTCTATTGTTTCAAAAGTTAACGAATTTTACTAGTTTCGACGCTTTCTGCTACAACCGCAAACTTTTCAACATCCGTGTCCCGTGATGTTACGCAAGTCGTTACGATTTAGAGTCCCTATACTGGTAACTGTTTTCGCTTTATAGTAGATATTCAAGTAACCTATTCACTGCGAGGTAAGCGACCCAAAAGAACAATTTTCTCCTGGTTTCGTCATAGTAAATTAACAATGGCAAATCTTTAGGGTTGTGCTACTGCGCTAGGCTTTGATAGAGTGTCGGATACAACTTTAAGGCATGTTGCAATGTCTTCTCCGAAATATTTAGCTTAAAATAACGGGATCCATCAGTCTATGGAAAACGTGCACGCACCATGGACCTACATATATACCTGCCATGTCTAGCCCAACGCGGTGCACAGAGGAAGATCGCATCCCGCAAAAAGATATGAAAAAATAAGATCTGAAAATGAAGTGGCCGAAATCCGGAGCTCTTTTGTGCGTAGGCAGGGGGGGGGGGGGGGATGGAATGAGAGTACTAAGTTTCAGAGGGACACCACAGTGAAATGTAGCCCATTCCTGGATGAAATCATGTATCTGCCCAAACCACGATGACAAGGTTTTTTGGCCAACAGCATTTGGCAAACTTTCTTCTGAACGCTGGGGGCTGGGGCACAAGTTTTGGAAGGGAGAGGATGAAGAACCCTCGCTCCATACTGAATGAGAATCGACAACACTCAATGAGGTTAGGCAAACACAGCTGCTCTTTTTCCGATTTTTGTGCAATGGAGACCTAATCATCCGCATTTTATAATATTTTCGGCGGAAAAAAAGCTCGATGTTTAAAAAACCTTCGGGGTTTGCACTTTACCACTCGCAGGCTGCCCGTAGGAGCAACCTGGAGGAGGAGCCTCCAGGATTGCAAGAGTCTGTGATTGGTTGGAGGGGGGGGGGGCGAATATGGCATTCTGCGAGGAAAAGGACCCAACCCCACGCAAAGCTTAGGATTACCCTTCAATGTTTGGAGAGAGCCACCGCCATTTGCCTAAGGATTGGGGACAAGCCCTCCTCCTCCTCTCCTTGTTCCCGCCTCTATGGACGGATTGTTGCAAGGCTCTAGAGCGAAGTGGTAAGAGAGGAAAGTAGAAAACGTTTCTTCGAGTGCTTCGGGGCCAGTTCGACCGCTTTGTGGCAGCCAACGAGCTGGATGCGAAGCTGGTGTAGTACTGACATCTATCGTTAAATTTTACAACCAGTACTTGTTGAAACTGCCTGTCGAGGGATCGAACGTAGAGATGGGCGCAGAGCAGAAAACGGTTGTAATGTTATTATCAACGAGAGGTTGTGACATTCTCTTTGGTTTTTCGCGATATTGTCATGAATAAAAATCTGGTTGTATTTTTGGAACGAACAAAAATCCAGCTAGCGTAAAAAGTTCGTCATTGCATATAAGTACCACCTGGCGATTCATTCACGGAACACGGAGGCGTTGGCAATGTCCAGATACTGAGCGCTGTCCGTGTCTTACTTTGTCTGCTTATGTACAGTCCTGTAAATTTACATGAACCTTTTCCACGGTAAGACCAGGGGCGGTTCGGATGACGCATGCTGATGTCATGGACATCTCCTTATTTGGGCAGCCAATGAGCGTCGAGGACGCTGGAAAACGGACCAATGAATGCGCTTGCTTTCTTCCACGATCAATGCGTCACGAGCCGGATGACGAAGCGACCGGGCTCTGACGTGGTACGGCATCCTCCAGTGAGATCGCAGCAAGCTGGTGACGAGAAATACGTAACTGGGTAAGTGTTCAGCTGTAGGAGATAATCAAAATGTGACACGCAGGTCGCACCTGGGCTGAATTTTGTGCTGGTGTGTGCTTTGAAGTAGTCGTGCTTCTAACAGAATGCGGGACAAGATGGCGTACGTACGATGGCAAGGATGTTGTGTACCGTTTTATTTTGCATACATCGTACTAACCACGCTTACCCGCAATGTATTGAAGGCCTCACATGGTACCACATCAGCCCTAGGGGAGATTTTGATAGCATTAGGAATATTGGCATGTAGGAAATGGGTGTTGACATACATACATATATAATATGCCTGCTGCCCCATGCTCCTTCCTGCTCAGGTTCCTGTCTATGTAGGAGTTGCATGTAGTCACCAATAATTGGTGGAAATTGGAGTGATGATTCCCTGCTTTGTTTACACTTCCTGATGTAGGTGTACTCTCTGCTCATAATGGTCAATCTTGGAAGTAAGCTCACAGATTTGTTGAGCTCAAAATGTAAATTTGATTTTGCATTTACCCTAGGAAAGTCATGAAGGCACACTTTTTGTTATCTATGTGGTGGTGGTTATTTAGGTGTGTGCCATATTAAACCACACTGGGTGTCCTTTTTGGCTTATGGTTATATCATTTTGCCAAACCAGCATGCAGAATATCAGGTGCCTGCTTCAGCCATAGTATATTTTCATCACCTTTACTACCTATAGTGCATGAGTGGAAGATGTGACTTCTGTGTGGAACAGGATCAGGATGGCTGCTTTTAACTGGCACGTAAAACAGGATATTTTTGTACCCATTGGATACTTCATTGATTTAATTTTTCCTCTGGAATGGCATGCTAAAAACACAAAATTGATAACTGTTGGATGTTAGCCTGGTAATACACCAGCCTTGATATGGTTCCTTTTGAAAAATACTAGAATTATACTAACACATCCTTACCTGACAGTGTTTGCTCAAAAATACTACTCAACTTTTAGCACCAAATTTTGCAATCAGAGCCTGAGGATGCATTAGGACATTGTGACCCAGTTCTGACCTATCCATGAGCATGCAAGCTGTTTGTGAAAGCCAGTATTGACATGCACCATATTTATAGCTTGTCCAATTCCTTTTTAGTGTAAACATGAAATAGTACAAATTTACAAGGATAATTCCAGTGTCTTTTCCATGCTGATTTGTGCAACATAAATTTGTATGGCTTTGTATGTTATGGCCTGAAGCTTACATTTCATAGGCATAGAGCATATTCTGGTGGACAAAATTATTTATACCATTTGTCATTAGAGCAAGCCAACCACTTAACTCCCTAATGAACACAAAATGTGTGACTTTGTGACTGATCTGCAGAGATTGTTTCCCCATGAGACCATATCAAATTTCTGCTATTTCTTTTTCTTCCCATGCAACTGCCGGCAAACCTGCTGGCAGGCAGGCTCAGTAGTAAAAGGATGTGTCATTATTTGTGTGTCAGAATGCCCATCAGGGGTGGTTTCACATTGACAGTTGACAGACTTCACAGAATGACACCCTCAGGTGGGCACAGTAGCATAGTTTGAATGCCAGGGCTCCCACAGACCTTGTGCAAACTGCAAAAGTCTTTCATTGAGGCTGGCTAGTGGCATATTGTGTCTCCTCATTCCCTGCAGCACTTTGGGCAAGAGATGTCCATGCCAAGTTACCTAAGAGGTTGAATGAATCTTCATCTTGAACAAAGATGATAGCCCTTGGGTGAGAATGTCAGTTCATGTTTCCTGTGATGAGTTCCAACAGCTGAGTTGAGCAAATATGGTCTTTGCCATCATGCATATGCTCCTTTGCTTAACAGGTTGTTTTGCCCATTTTGGTTTGCGATATGATGAGTATTCGTCATTAGTCCCTGCAGTCTTCTGGGTCATGTCCCATTCATCTGTGCAGCCACCCAAGATGGGTATGGAAGAACACTCAAGTGGCTGCATTGGATCATTCTGCAGGTGCCTTTTGATCAGTCAAAGTGTGTGTGTGTCGGTTTCAGGAAGTGCTTGTACGGCTTCCGTCGTAAATGCTAGTTTGAACACCCCCGCCTAATCCTCCAGCGAGCGGTATTTTTGCGGCTGTAGTCCGTCATAACACTGCGCATGTGCTGCTAGGTATGGACAACAACACCGAAGAAGGTCTGACCATCACGCCGGACGCGCCCAAGGACTCGCTCGAGGGTCAGACCGACACGAACAGTCCATCTGTTAGTAGCTCTAATGTCCGGCTAGTTCACGTGTCGATACCCAGTGTCTCCAGTGGACAGGTAGACAAAGCCAATCCTGTCACGCCTTACCAGCTGCTATCGCCATGAAGCGTCTTGGTGTGGTTTGCACCGGCATGAATAGTGGACACCCTCGTCCGTTAGAAAGCTGTTTTGACCTCTCAAAACAAAAGCATGTTTTGTCAAAAATGTTGCCCATCATTTCTTTCTGGGCAGCTTTTTGATGATGGCATACTACTCTGTCTCTGGAGTCTGGGTAGTGGGCTCTTCAGTGGTTCTGGTTACAAACTCGCTGCGGAGAGCAGATTTCCGACACTGGGTTTGCAGCTACGTTTCTTTCTTCCCGTTCGTGGTTATTTTAGCCATGAATCAAAGCTGTTTATTGATGCAGGTGGCACCACTTCTTGTCTGGGCTGCCAACTTGCCATGTGTTTGCTCAGAAACAAGAAAGTAACTTGAATACTGGCAATATTTTTTGCAATCTGGTAACTATTTCAAGTTCCTGCCATGCAACAATTGCCTGTATTTGATGTGCACCTCACTGGGTTCACATCACATCACTGTCGAACCAGTTCCAAGTCGTGGTCATATCGCATCGTCATTTTGCAGAACCAGCCGTCCGTCATCCAGTCGACACAGCCCATCGTGCAGATCAGTAAAAATAGCGCGATCCTGCTGAACAAGGCCGGGTCGGGCAGTGTCATCCAGAGCACCCCCAATTCCAGCGTGCAGAGCATACAGGTACGCAGCTGGTGTGTGTGCGGAGGTGGCGGCCGCGCCGAGGCGGGGCCCGACGGCGGCCGGCCGCTGACACGAGTCTGCTCCTTGGCATCTGGCGCTGCAAACCAGCCCCTGACATCACCGCCAGGTCAACATGGTGACGTCACCGGCCGTGTGTGCCGTCACCCCTCTTGTGATCCCATGGCACGCTACAGCGTTGCGTCATCACCAGCCCATTGTGACGCACTTTTCGTTGCAGTAGTAGTATTCGAGCGGCCTGTCGGTTAGTCAGTATTCGGGCCCGGTAGCGTCCTGCGACTGTGATTTCTCGACGAGCATGCATTCGTATTGTCTTAAAATGGCGCGACATAAGTAAAGCGTGATGCATCGCAAAAGGTGCGTACTCTTAGTAGTAAGTATAATAAAAATCAGCTCCAATATCGTGTCCCTGTCCGTCCCGGCTGCCGTGTCGTGTCCGGGTGGGGTCAGGTCGGCTCGGGTGGATGCGAGTAGGGTCGGGTCGGGTCGGACGGACACGCGTCGCCGCGGTGCTGACCGCGGCGCTGGCCACCGGCAGGTGATCGAAGCGGACGCCCTGCCACCGCAGTACGAGGACGAGGCGGCGCGGCGGCGGCGCGAGATCCTCACGCGCCGACCCTCCTACCGCAAGATCCTCAACGACCTGGGCGGCGGCGAGATCTCCGAGGACAAGGGCGACGGTGACGTGGACGGACAGGGCGCCGCCTACCAGGGCAACGGCATCATCAAAGGTACGCTCCCACTGCGGGTGGCGGCGCGGTCGGCCCGTCGGCTTGGAAAAGAGGAGACAGGTGTCGTTATATTTGAGTTGAGGGTTCATCTCTGTGTGAATACTCACGTGGCCCGCTGGCTGGCCGTCGAGCGGCGGCCCCGGTGAGCGGTCATGACGCCGGCGTGGGGAGCCGCGCCGCGCTGACGCCGTTCCGCGCCGCCCGCAGTGATCCCGGCCAACACCATCCAGATCTCGTGCGCCGACGGCGTGCAGGGTCTGCAGACGCTCAGCATGAGCAGCGCCGGCGCGGCCGCCAACACCATTGTCCAGTATACGCAGGGCGATGGACAGTTCTTCGTGCCAGGTGGGTGCCGTGCAGGCCGAGCAGGGCGCACACCCCCCGGAGTACGTGCCGTCGCCGCTGGCCAGCTCTGACCGGTTGTCCAGGTGCCTCGGTTTTGGCTGTCTGTCGAGACTACGCCGTGGACAGGAGCCTCGCTTCTAAGCTAGGCGGTAGGGCATAACAGCGCCTGATCGCGGTCGAAAACTGGCTGCGGTTGCGTCATGCATTGAATCAAGGCTACGAGCCCGTGTTTGCATCAGTAAGTAATTCTTGAGGTCAGCGATGTGCCTGCCAGGGAGATTCTCCCGCAGCGGTCTCCGCGTAGCCATGCCATCGGCCGTCGTTTTCGCGGAGGGCGCCCACGCGGCTGTGAGGAGCGCGCGGCCCGACGCCTGGCCCGGAGTCGGAGGTGGCCGGTGAGCCGTCGGGCGTGCCGGCGGTCTGTGCGCTGCGGCTAACGTGCGGCCGTTGCAGTGTCGATACCGGTGACGGGCGGCCTGAAGCTGGACCAGGGCGGCAGCCAGCACATGGTGCTCACCTCCTCCGGCGAGGTGGTCGAGGAGGTCACGAAGAAGCGCGAGGTGCGACTCTACAAGAACAGGTGAGGCGGACGGCACGCCGCGCCGGCCCGGGCAGGCGTAGCGGTGCGTGCGCTGCGACGAGGGCTGCCTCGGGTCACCCTCTGCGTGCCTTGGGCCACCTTCCTTCTCTGCGATGAGGCGAGCCTTAGGCCACCTTCTCTGCGATGGGGGGGGGGGGTACCTCGTGTCACCCTCTGTGCGATGGGGGGTGCCTCGTGCCACCTTCTCTGTGATGGGGGGGGGGGGGCGGGGTGCCTCGTGCCACCTCTGCGATGGTGGGGGGCGGGGTGCCTCGGGCCACCTTCTCTGCGATGGGGGGGGGGGGGGCGGGATGCCTCGGGCCACCCTGTCCGCGAGGTGTGGCACCGATGGGGTCGGGGCGCGGTGGCCGGCCGGCTCGGCCAGCGACGGGTTTGTGGGGAGCCCGTCAGCGAGGGATGCCTGGGGTGCTGGGACGTTCTCTTCGCTGTCCACGTCTCCGCTGGCGCCGTGCGCGCAGTGCACGCTTGATGATTCATTAGTGTTGCCCCGCTGGACAGATGCTCCTTTTCGCTTGCGTGTATCGGGCCGCCTCCTGGCGTTTGTGGGCGCCGTAGCACTCCTTTGGAACGGCGTCGACGTCTCGTAGAGCCGCGGCTCGGCGCCACTCTGCGTGATCAGTCGCGTCCGATCCAGACCCGAGGTGGCCGCACTGAATTCTCCGGGTCCGAACGGGAACGCTGGAGGGGTGCGCGTGCTCCCTCGAGTCTCGGCCTCGGAGTCACCGGCCGCCACACGGGGACCCTCCTCGCGTGGCGCTGGGTTTGCGTGCGTGTGTTGGAGGGGGAGGACTTCCTCTCGGCACGGGAGCTGCGCGCCGAGTCGGCTCCGTGTGGCACGGCGGGCTGCTCGGCCGCCGGTCGGAGCCGGGGTCTGACCGGACGTCTGCCGCGGCGGGACGTGCGGGGCAGCCTGCTGTTATCGGCCGGACGTGGGCAGCTGGCGGCGCCGGCCGTCTGAACCCGACGGTGTTGGCCGATACGAGCGCGCCGTTGCGATTCGAGGCGTGTTTTTTGCCTTAAGATTGCCCAATGGCCGTCGCTTCAAAACTGGTTTTGCGTCGGCGAATGCCCGGCTCGGCGGTGTTTCGGTGTCGGTTGGCGGCTCGGATGGACGGCGTCCGAGCCGGCGCCGGGAAACGGCCGGCCCGCCCGCGGCGTGATGTCACCGGCCGTCCCGGGAGGGGAGAAGGGGGGGGGGGGGCGGCCGCACCCAGAACCACTCGGAGCGCCGTCAGCGGGGCCGAAGGCGGCCGCCGCCGCCGCTGCTGCTGCTGCTGCTGACGGCACCGGCCGCGTCACAGCCGGGCCGGTGTCGGAGCTAGCGTCTGATGCTGCGGTACCGGGAGCGCGGTCCGGCGGCGGTCCGTGCGCTGGCCCGGATCGGCCGCGACTCGGATCTGCAACGTGGCCCGCCGGCGGTCCGTGCGCTGACCTGGATCGGCCGTGACTCGTATCTGCAACGCGGCCCGCCGGCGGTCCGTGCACTGACCCGGATCGGCCGTGACTCTGGTCTGCAGCGGTCAAATGTAAACAGTTGACGGGGGGCCACGTAAACCAGTCGTTTAGCAGCAGACGTCATGGGGAGGTGGCGTTCAAGCGTCCGGCGCGGAGTGAAGGGGGCGGCCTTACTGCGCCGTCTGGCGTGCGGGGTGTTAGCCGCAACCGGGTGTTCACGCTTCCGTGGAACGGCACGTGTATCTGATATCAGGACCGTTACAGCGGCTCCTGATTGTATGTGAGATATGCAGGGGCACCGAAAAGTGCACACTCCAGCTGAGGGATTCAGTGCAAATAATGTGATGGCCGACGGAGACGCTGCCTTTGCGAGCTGCGGGGTTCCGAGTTCGATTTGTGACCATTCAGCGCCAGGCGTTCATTGTTCAAGTTTGGAGAAGTGCTAAGGTATTTCCCCACCCCGTGTCATGTCAGGACTTAACCGGGCACTCTAAAGCGTGCTCTATGGACACAGCAGCGGTGCAGCCATTTGAAGAGATGTGGACGGTGGAATTTGAACGGGTACTACCAGTCGATAATGCTATATCTATTCTGAGGAAGGTGATGACGGTTTTGAATGGTGATATATTTAGCGACCTGAACACCGGCCGTTTCGGGGGGGGGAGGCGCACATTCCTGCTGTTTCCCCCAGAAGGCCCTGCCCTCCGCCAGAGGCGGCGCTGGCGTACTCGTGCCGTCGCCTGGTCCTTCCCTCCCCTTTCCCGGAGTCGCCCCCCCCCCCCCCACCCACCTCTCCTGACACCGTGTCTGCGTGTCCGTGACGTGCGTATAACGGTGCCGGCCCGCTCACAGGGAGGCGGCCCGCGAGTGTCGCCGGAAGAAGAAGGAGTACATCAAGTGTCTGGAGAACCGGGTGGCCGTGCTGGAGAACCAGAACAAGGCGCTGATCGAGGAGCTCAAGTCGCTCAAGGAGCTCTACTGTCAGAAGAAGCTGCCCTGAGCGGTGCAGGGCAGCAGAACTGAGGCGGCGGCCGCGGCGCACCGCCCCGCCGGCTCCAGCCGCGGCACCGCAGAGACTGTACCTGAAGTGATGTGCAAGCCAAAGGCCCTGCGCGTGGGTCGGGCCGCGCCGGGCGCGGCGCGTGCTCTCGTCGCCTTCAGCCGCGCCCGGGCGTGACCCGCGTGTGACGCGGCGGTGGCTGTGCGAGCGGCAGCGCGTTTCAGCGACTCCGCCGTGCCGGCGGGCGGCCGGGTCCCGCCGGCACCGGCTGCGCGTCAAACTGGCGTTACGGCGTTACCGGTGCTGGGTTAGCTGTGGGGTGGGTGCGTGCGCTTGGTTTGGCTGGAGAGTCCCGCTAATCAAAATCGACGGTAATCCCATCTGATACGCATCCCACCGTGCCATTTATTTGTAGCCTGCCCCCTCCCCTCCCCCCCCCCCCCCCCCCCACCATCGGCCGACATTTGTGCAGAGCGTGTATTTTGTATCATCAGCTGTGTGGCCAATACAGGCCGGGCCGGGCCTGTCGCCCGGCCGCCCGCGTCTGGAGTGGTTTGTCCGCGCGGCTGTGCTGTCTGACCGGCCGCGTGCGGGGGCGCCGGCGGCCCGCCGCGCCGCCCCGACCCCTCACCCCGAGCGCTCGGCAGTGCCGCCAGCGACCGATCCAGAATGGGCGCAGCGTGTATTGGCAGGGACGCACCAAAACAGCACTTCAGCCCCACCGCGCAGGTCCGCACGACGGCGGCCCGACCCCAGCGGGCGGCGCGGGGAACACGGCACACACACTGCCGCTACACAAACTGACCGGGCCGGGCATGCCAACAAACGAACGGAACAGCGCGCCAGCGGCGGACGGGGTCAACAGTCGGGCGGCGTCACCAGGTGGGAGGTGACAGCTCACGTCTGTGCGTCCCGACAGCTGATCCGATGCGCGAGAACAGAGTGAATGAGGCAGGTTAATAAAGCTGCGCAACAGTCCCTGGCCGCCATAGTGGACACTCGCGGCATGCGCGCGTCAGCGGGGAGTGAACGTCATCTCCCCGGATTTCAGTGGCTGCAAACGCAGGCGACAAGCCACCAACGCCGATAAACGTGGCTGTGCGGAACGATGCGAATGGTGCAGATAAAATCAGAGGCGAGCAAAAACAGCTCGTTGCTTTGGCGCCAGTCGACGGCAACTTACGTCGAAGAGCAATTAGACATTTGGAAGAACTCACAAAAGAGCGGCCGACTGCAGATGTAATGTTTTGACCCGACAGGCAGAAGCCATGCTCCGGCTTTGAACAGCATGGGCATTGCCACGTTCAAACCAGGCGCTGAACGACGCCAATGGTCTGAGCGGACTGAGCCCGCACCACATCCTGGATGCCGGGCTATTCGACCTGAAATCATACGATCCGTCCCTTTAGCGTCACCAGAGTGACCACAGGAGGGATATGCTAGTATCTCGCGATTATGCACTGCACGCTGGCGTCTGAAGCGTGCCGCGGGCGGGCGTTCTCCACGTCTGGCTCAGGAGCCCAGAGGTTCGGCTCGATTCAGACCACGAGGGGTGTAACATGCTTGTTCCGTTTCGTCCAGAGGGGCGGGAAGACTGCTGCTCGATAAGCTATCGAACTTTTCTAGCAGGCGTAGACGACTCGTATCTTGAGATTGCGCACGAACACGAGACGGAGGAGATACGCACGCGAGACGGAGCACCGGAGATAGTAGCCATAAATCACAGAGCACAGAAACATGGACGAGCACATTGCAAATTTTTGACTGGAATCATGTGTCCGTGACTACGCGTGGCTTTGAAACTGCTACATTGATGTAAAGAATCGCCACTGTGTGTAGGTCGGGTTCAAGCGAGGCGGGTCTGAAAATGACCACCGATTTAACAAGATTACTTAACAGTCGTGGAAGCCTTGGAAGAAACACAGGCTGTGGCTTCAAAACTGACCACTGCCATACATCCGACAGCGCTATCTGCAGCTACTTCCTGAACAGACTCGAAGACCATACAGCCTGCACCGGAGCTGATACCGCGAGGGGAGAGCCAGCACGCGGCGACTCGCAGACGCGCGAAGCGAGGACGGAGCCGACCACCACATCCGCTGGTCAGTTTCTCCACACAGTCTGGAGGCGCAGCTCCTGACCGAGACAGGAGCGCCGGGCAGCCGCAGCCGCAGCCGCCGCCGCAGCCGCAGTCGTCGCCGCCCCCTCAGAAGCACAGGCCGGGGAAGCGGGCCTTCTCTGGGTGCAGCAGGTCGGCCAGAAAATACACCGTGCCGGCTATGCCTGAAAATAACCGTGCAGCCGGATTACGCGCCGCTGACGTCAGCCGGCGCCGACCGCGCTGACGTCACGGCCGCCCCGCTGACGTCACCAGGGGCGGCAGGCAGCCGGCCGACGGGCGGCATCACGCGCCCAGCGGCGCCCTCGGCGCAGGCGCACGCGCGCGGCAACAGCGTCATGTGTTCAGGCCTCGGAGCTCGTGTTAATCGGCTTCAGACCTCGGCTTTAAAAGCAGTCTTGCTCAATTCGTTATCTCCAGACCGTCACCGCTGCTGAAGATGAGCAAGGAAACGTTTCGACTCGTTGCATTCAAACCTGACCATGGCCTTCGCCGCTTGCCCGGGTTACTAACGGGAAGGGCGCACGCCATCCTGCGCAATAAATACCACTGACGCCGCGTGTCCTCCCCACCGTGACCTCGTCAATACTTCCTCGCTCTCACCCCGCCCCTGACCCCCGACCACGGCAGATGCACTATCCGCGCCCCTGCGCTGCGGCCGCGAGAAGGGCTTCGGACCGGAGCGGCGGCCGGGGCGGCAGCCGCGGCCCCTCCCCCTCCCCCACCGGGACGCTGGCAGGCGCGGCCAAGGACGCCGCGTCACAGCTACGCCTCCCGACGGGCTTCGCACAAGACGCGGCAACTCCCCGCCGACGGGCGCCGCGCCGGACGACCGTAACCCCCGATGGGACGCATGCATCGGCCCCTGCGAAGAGCACCGGCGAGGGACGGGCCAGCAGATAACCTGCCATTACCGGGCCATACCTAAAGGAAACATGAACATCCTGATCGCAACATGCGCTATACTATTACCAGGCCGGCGAGGGACGAGCCAGCAGATAACCTGTCATTACCGGGCCATACCTAGAGCAAACTTAAACATCCTGATCGCCACGTGCGCTATACTATTACCAGGCCGGCGAGGGACGAGCCAGCAGAAAACCTGCCATTACCGGGCCATACCTAAAGCAAACCTGACCATGCCGATCGCAACATGCGCTATACTATTATCAGGCCGGCGAGGGACGAGCCAGCAGATAACCTGTCATTACCGGGCCATACCTAGAGCAAACTTAAACATCCTGATCGCCACGTGCGCTATACTATTACCAGGCCGGCGAGGGACGAGCCAGCAGATAACCTGTCATTACCGGGGGTATACCTAAAGCAAACCTGACCATGCCGATCGCAACATGCGCTATACTATTATCAGGCCGGCGAGGGACGAGCCAGCAGAAAACCTGCCATTAGCGGGGGCACACCTAAAGCAAACTTAAACATCCTGACCGCAATATGCGCTATACTATTACCAGACCGGGCATCTGGACAAACTAACCAAAAGGTGAAATTCACCGCGCCTTTAGCATTTGAAGCTGAGGGGAACGATGACGAAGGGGAGGTAAGCAGAAATATGGAGGACGGACGGAGTGCACCCACCCGATTTCAGCTATGGAACTGCTTACCCAAATTGCATGCCATCATTTCGATTAAAATAAGGTGCCCCTGTACCCCTAGCTTCGCTACAAGAAAAAACTAAGTGGAAATCAAAGACAAAACAGGCCATTCACGGTGCTGACTATATCAGGTTTGCAGCGAACCTGAAAGGCATTATTAACGTCATCCATAATCCCTCATTGCCTAATCGTTGCAGCCCACTGCGGGGTAATCGGGCTGGGTCGATGGTCGAGACGACGGAGCGGTCCTTTCAGCGCGGGGGCCCGACCGAGCCAGGCATGGCCCAATGTTTTGACTAGATGCACACATGACCTTAGTAGCCTACACTCATGCCGTGTGGTGTAGTATACCACACTCCATGGCGCAGTGTCTGCTTTTGTGCCCAACCGCTTTGCTTTGCTCTGATGGTGTTACCAAATATCATAACAACACGCCCTGAACTGAGCCCAACTGGCCGTTTCGCGCTGCGACACCATCCGCCGGACAGGAGTACAGCCGGCCACCGGCGTGCTGACAGGCTCCACGGCCTGCGACAGCCGATCGGGCGCCCGGCTTTTTGTCTCCTTGCAGAACCCAGCATCACGCCACCGCCAATATTACATAACACCAATAGCACGCGGGGTGGCATGGAGCGCAAAGCCTTCCGAACACGGGCGCCCCGACCTCCCACACACACCTCTAAGCCGTGACGGAGCCTCTACTAGCACCACCAGAGCACATCCCCGGATGAAGCACCGCCCGTCGCGGCACTGGAGATGGCACGCCACGGGTCAGTCCGCACTGGAACGAGTTTGGATGTCGGCGGCCGCGGACAGCTAGTCACAGGCCGTGAGGACGACGTCAATGGCGGTCAGCACGGGTTGGCCGGCAGGGAGAGCAGGAGGGCGGCTCGTAACCCGCCGTATTCGCGTCCCGCCGGGACTGCGGTCAGCGGAGAAGGCGCACGGGCTAGCCGGAAGGGATGATGGGAGGGCGGCTCGTGACCCGCCATACTCGTGTCCCGCCGGGACCGCGGTCAGCGGAGAAGGCGCACGGGCTCACCGCGCCAGCGGCTGCAGCACGCTACAGCAGCAACTCCCACGTCCAGGTCCACGCCCGCGTCCCGCATGCGGGGAACACAGGCAGAACCGCAGCTGGAGGCGGGCTGGTGTCCTCCAGCGAGCCAGCGCGGTACGCGGCTGGCCGCGGAAGGCCGCCAAACGGGGCTCGATTTCCGCTACGATCGGCTCTGACGTGGCGCCGTTGCATTCTAACAGCCCCTTCCCCGTGGTCCCACCTTGCAAGTGGCGTCGGGGTTGATCTCTAACCAGCCAGTGCGTCCTATCCTTTGCAACGATACCAGTGGGCAACAGCGGTTATTTCGTTTTGAGTTGCCCCTATCCTGGACATATGCTCGCAGAGGACATTTTCTCAGCAGGAGAACGTACTCAAAAGGGCAATGGCATCTGCTTGCATTCCGACACCACCTACAAAATAGTGTCATTCCAGTGTAATGCATTCCTTACACTTTTTGCCCAGCTGTTTGGTTTCGCTGACGTACAACAAACACACGGGTGCAGGTCCGACCAGAAGATGCCGTGCAACTGCTGTTGTGCCTCGCAGGCTAGACGCAATCTGATCGCAGTATACGGGCCGTTCACAGCAATAGGAGCGGGATGTTCTGCGCTGCTAGCGCGGTCGTGCGGGGTCACGGGACCACGTTCATGCATTACGAGCCAGGCGGCGGGCCCGGCGAGGTTTAGCGTCAACTCACAGAGAGCTTTGTAGGCTGAGCGGCGAGGCCGTCGCGCTAGAGATATGTGCACACTGATCGAGCCGAGATACACTTTTCAGTCACAAGAAGTACAATAATTTTCGAAATGTTGTACGTCGTTAGGCACAATACGTTTGGATGCAACCCGTTCAAGCAGCCTGCAACCTATTTTGCGGTATACAGCACCCCGGCAGACAGGGTAGCCTGTTGCAACCTCAGTTGTCTGTAACAATAACCATAAAATATTGTCGCCGTTTTACATCTCTTTCTCTTGACTATGGGAATAAGCACATTTTCCAACTGCAAAGACAAACAACGATGCAAGGCACAATTTCAGGATGCAGAAATGATTAAAAAGACTGATGAAACCAGGGCCAGATCTCGACGACCCGGCACCGCAGAGAAACGAGACCAACACATCTCGACAGAGGAAAAAACGGACCATCGTTCTGGCAAGGCTCGTGTCCTGACATGACATGCGGCCATACGCCCTCGCACAACCACGCATCAGCCTGTTCCTGAACGCTTAAAAAAACATTGATATTGAGATATGGGCAGCGGGAGCGTACAGAAACGCAAAGCGAACTGCACAGTGTTGGTGAATCTACCGCCTCCAGATCCTGGCGCGATTTCGACGCTGTCCGACCCGTGCTTCAGTTATGGCCCGTAGCTGCCGACCTGGTGACCGGCCGGCAAGCGGCCAGCGCCAGTTCCCCTGAAAACGGCCTGGATTCATCACGCCGTGACCTGCACCGTGAGAGGTTCAGCGAGGTTCGGGTCAAGACAACCGCATGTGCGCACGTCCCGTGTGTTGAGCCCAGCGTCCATCCACAATCTTGCGTGATTCGCCATGCGTCGGTCACGGCCACCAGAAACAAAAACAATCCAGAGTGCATCGATATCGTTTAATAACCTGTGTCGCCTGCGTGAGAAGGAGCAGCCTGTCCAGTGAGTTCCGGGAATACCTTATGAGCCGCGCGAGTTAGACCCCCAAATTTGCACTACCTGGCAGGCGACCAATCTGGCACATTCCGAAGGATGATCTGCTATGCTCGATCAGGCCGCTGACGTCACTGGCATAACGACATCACCCGTGAGGGTTCGAATGTCGATTTACACGCAGTAGCTCATAGAAGTAAGCGCGAGTACATGCAGTAACACATGCAGTAACTCGCATACATAACATATGCAGTAGCTCGCAGTTCTCGGCCCTGTTTTCGAGAGCCTTAACGTTGCTCATCGACTGAGGTGACTGTTGCCAGGGCCAATCGCAGTGCACGAGGGCACAGCAGGTCACCATCAGAAGTCATGTCAGATCTGCTAATGAGCCGGACCAGAATGAGCTGTTACGCCCATCTACCATAAATAAGTCGGTATAACAGATCTCCACCCCAAATGACCTGTGTATGTCCGGTGAGCTGGAGAGCAGGAAAGCAATACCAGATAGGGTGTCCTGACGTCAAAAGTTGGCCTGTGTTGTGTTGGCATTACGGTATGCTCGTGAAGTGTAACCATACGCTCTCTCGTTTGGCTCTAGTTTCAGACGCGAGGTCAAGCTTACATTCGTTTCTACATTTCGATGACTTATCTCGCGCGACATGGGACGCAATCGGCCACGTGACCAACATGAACTCGACCATTACTGACCTAACTGCATGTAAGACTGGCCAGGGTTGTCGATGTTTGTTCGCGCTTTCCGATCCAAACATTAGATACCGAGATAATGGGAGTGGTATTTTACCCCCATTCCCCCTTCCCCATTCTGCTGTCGCATGCTGTTCGGTGACGCCAGAGTTTCCTCTGCACATAAGCCGCACGTGCTGGAGAATGAAATCCTGCTTGGCAGACATAAGCTGCTAAACGTGGAGAGGAAAATGTGTTCTATGCAAATGTGTGAAAGCGAATAATCACATTCAGGACCAGATCTAACAATTACGGAAGGGCCACTGGGACGTTGGACGGTGGACAAGGCAGTTCAAATTATCATATAGATAACACGAAGCATACCACGATCACGTTAATTGCATCACTAGCTACGGGTGAGGCTGCAAACAGAGTGGATTTTGTATGCACTATGACAGCACCTTCAACTTGAGCAGTTCTGTGTCACGCCCACTAAAACATAATACATCGGCGCAGTGATCGCAGATTAATACAGCTTTCGGCAACGATAAGCCGACTTATTTAAGAGCTATGTTATGTCAGTTATTACGTATTTGCATGCAAGCTGGATTTTCCAACAGCGTTGCAGGATCACCATTATTTCGCCACCTCCGTTCTATTAGAGGTACTGTTTCACATTTGAAGATATTAAAGCAAAATCAGACATCATGCAGCAAGCTCTATTCGTATCCTTTTAAGTAGAGAAGACTGCTCTAGACAACACAATTTCTCCGCTTAGTAAACATGTTTCTCGATATTTGCTCGTCATTGCTCGATCAAGTGATCGTACCCTGCGCAACATTGGTTGAAAGCCAATTGATGGCCGCGTTTTCTGGAAATCGTGTTTCAAACGCCCGATATGAACGAATCGAACGCCATATTTCTCTCGGCCTTGATCGCAGCATGACTTGTGGAATGGCAGGACTTAGATGGCCGAATTTTAACGTCATGAATGCCAATGTGACCTTGAACTACCCTCCACGAAATACTTTACACATTTTCGCGGGTGTCTAGCTCCGAAACAAGAGATTTAAGTCTAAAGACGGGCAGGGGTGTAAACTGCATCGGAAGGTCTTCAAGATAGCTATTTCAGTTCAAAACCCCATACAACTGTGGAACGCTCCCTTTAACATAAAAACCGTACAACTTCCCAACCGCTAAAAAGTTGAAGAGCGCCTCAAGAAAAGTTCAAGAGTCCAGATCTAGACGACCTAATGTCGCTGGAACACAACGCTGACGTATTTTGACCAGACGGGAAATACAGTTGTACTGGCCAATGTGTGGGGCGATGTGTGCAGACCGTAACGTGCTGTCGCGCACAGGCCATGTTACCGTCCACTTTGCGGCTTTTTAAGGGGTCGTTCTTCATAAAACGCGAAACCAAACGCACAATGCAGGCGAGTGTTCCAGCTAAAGCTCACTAACGGGACTGTCCAACCCAGGCGCGTCAGCAGCTCATCGGAGAGTGGTCAACATCACCTTTTCGAGACCTGTCACGAATATGAGACAATGAAGAATAAACCTAGAATTGCACAATGAAAATCGCCCTGGCGTATAACCCTGCTTATTGTCAACAATACCTGTCCAAATTATATGTGTGTCCTAACCCAATCTGATCGGGCTTGCCAAAACCAAATCATAACAATTTATCAGTGCATGGATTGAAATTCCGAAGACTCATGACCGACCTTTTTCAAGCAATGCCATTCACATCTTATGATGATTTCCTCACGAAATGATGAAACTCATTGGTATCCATCGCTGGAGGCGTCTTTGGCTTCATAAACTTGCGTTTGGCGTTATCTACGTGATAGCTCAAAGCGTTTTGTTGGTTTGCTATCAACCTATCAACGGCGTGCTCCAGAATACGGATGGAGTCGCAGTAGTGTTAACTGTGGAGGACTTGATCGCCAGGCCTTGTGGGGTCCAAAGCCAGCCACACGCCGGCAAGATGATAACGAGAGCAAGGCGGCGTCTCGTCATCTTGTAGTTATTCCAAACCTCAATGTTTGCCAGTTTAACAGACGAGTACCGCGCCCTTGCACTAACGTAGGATGCCTAAAATTAACTAACGTTGTCATAGGTCACAGCGAGCTCATGCCTTTCAAAGCATACCGATAGACCGCCGAAGACCAGGTTATAAAGTTACTATTCTTAACAAAACCCGACGCCAGATGGATCACCAGTGCTTACTTGGCCCACGACACACTGATGATGCGTCGTCTTCTATTTCCATAGCTGCGAGCCCGTCATGACCCTGCACACCAGATCGAGCACGAGCCCCCGCGCATATTGTCGCTATTTTCGGCGGACGTGTTCCGGTGCGGATCAGGCCACACGGGGGAACGCCACCTGGCTCTATCCGCCGGCGGAGCTCCTTACGCGGCATACATCAAATTCCCGCGGGCACGGCAGAGGCGATACGCCCTCATACAGCCGATGGCGAGCTCGTAGTCCCACCAGCCTCCTGAGGGATGAAAGCGCTCGGACCGCATAGCTCGAAAGATTAACTCACAATTAACTCCGACGCAAGAAAGATAAACAAACTTGGGTGATCAGCTAGCCAAGGTTGCAAGTGCATCCTGTTTCTGGGTTAGCGCGTTTTGCATGAGGCATGAATTCGCCCCTCCACGACTCCGCTCTATCGCGATACAGATCACATAGGTAGTGCAATAGAGTTGAACATTCGGCCCGCTTTCGTTATTAGAATACCCCCCTCTCTCTCTCTCTCCCTCTCCCTCTCCCCCTCCCCCTCCCCCTCTCCCTCTCCCTCTCCCTCTCCCTCTCCCTCTCCCTCTCCCTCTCCCTCTCCCTCTCCCTCTCCTCTCTCTCTCTCTCTCTCCTCTCTCTCTCTCTCTCTCTCTCTCTCTCTCTCTCTCTCCTCTCTCTCTCTCTCTCTCTCTCTCTCTCTCTCTCTCTCTCTTTCTCTCTCTCTTTAGGTCAACATTTGTCGTACGGACTGCGAAACATAGCAATCCGTGTGCTGCTAATTGGAAGGAAAGGTCAACGAGGAAAATCATTTTCGAAGATTCGCACAACACATCAGTAATCTGTCTTAACACTTGTAAACCAGACAACTTTGAAAAAATAAACGCAGGGAAAAAGAACATGGGTAAAATCTGCACCATTTTCACCTTAACCTAACGACATATCTCGCATTGCAGCACTATCCGCGCACGGTTTCAACGTGGCCCCCATGGCAGTCCAGTACACCAGTGATCCACCAGAGCACGCGTCACAGTTCGTTCTCCCCGGGACCGAACTGTGGTCTACCAGAGTTCGGTCTCGGGGAGACCCAGAGGTCTACTGTAGACCACTGTATAGTATAGTGGTGGTCTGCAGCAATGGTGTTCCACAACCACTACACAGACCACTGCACCGCATAGTGTAGTGGTCTTTGGTAGACCACTGGGTCGTTGACCCAGTGGCCTACCAGAGTTCGCGGCACAGTTTACTATCCCCCCCCCCCCCCGGACTTCTGACCCAGAAAGTTAATCGACTATAAGAATTCAAACTCATCCCTTCGTCAGCAGGAAGTGAAAAATTAAGGATCAAAATGCAACTTAAGCTCAACATTTTGTGAGGACATTGCTATCTTCTTCAGTACGCATTTGACCATTCTCGGACACTCGAATATTAACTTCGGTATGCCATATTCCCCTTATACCAATACGGGGTTGAATATTCAAATATGCATCATGCAAATGCTCAGCTCTTGTGTGCGTGCACTGTGATCGCTGGCGATCGAGGGCAGGACACTGACGCGACCCCGCTCATTATAAACCTAGTACGTTGATACATGATGACTTTATGCTGCTCGCGTCGAACACCATTGCCGCAGATGTCCCTGAGCAGGAACATCCATATCCGTATCCGTTGGCACTACTTGTGCCAACAGTGCCATACATCCCGATAGTCCGCAGGCCCGACAACCGACATCGCTTCGATACCGACTAGCAGATGCGCTGGAACTCAGACAGGCGCCGCGACAGTCCCGAGTCACACCAAAGGCGCTCACGTGTCTCCGACTCTGAGGAGAGCGGGCGCAGGAGACGGCCGCGTGGCGTCAGGGAGACGGCGGTGCGGGAGACGGCCGCGTGGCGTCAGGGAGACGGCGGTACAGGAGACGGTTGCATGGCGTCAGTGAGACGGCGGCGCGGGAGGCGGCTGTGTGGCGTAAGTAAGACGGCGGTGCGGGAGAAGGCTGTGTGGCGTCAGTAAGACGGCGTGAACAGAAGGCGGCTGTGAGGCGTCAGTAAGACGGCGGTGCGGGAGAAGGCTGTGTGGCGTCAGTAAGACGGCGTGAACAGAAGACGGCTGTGTGGCATCAGCAAGACGGCGGCGCGGGAGCCAGCAGCACCGCCGCGCCAAGTGGCGAATCACGCTTGACATGGCGACCGCTGAGCGAATGTATCAGGATCAGAACCACAAACTCACTTCGGCTAGCACTGCCACACGAACGATGCCCACTTCAAGCACGCAGAATACGCCTATTGCTCCCATGCAGATGTAAGTCACAGAGGTACGAGGTACACGGGCGTACCTTCAAAGAGCGAGACGGGCCGGTCCGGGGTGCGGCAGCCGTGGCGGCCGTACTCGGAGCACCACTCGGCGAAACGGCACGCCCGGTACAGGTCGCGCGGATCCTGGCCAGAGGGGATGAGGGGGGGGGGGGGAGGGTCACACGCCATGTCCGGTACGGGTTGAGGGGACAGCAGGTATGCGCTCTACGTTCTGGTGTTAGCCATGTCCCGCTCGGCAACGGCGAAACGTAGCACTCTTGAGCTGTGGCACAAAACTGCACGCAAAGCTGTCAATCATGGCGATGTCCACTTACCTTGCAAAACAAAAAAATCCCAAGGCCGAGGCAAGCTTAACTTTAGGCCTAGCCGCGCAAAAATGTGACAGCAATAACAACTGTTCGTTGTGCACACGCCATAGCCGGGCATCAACACAACTCTACGATGGCGACGGAACGAACGTCGAGTCGGAAAACAAAGACCGCACATACTTTCCAGAATGTAATCATCGCCAGGGAGTGTTCCGCAGCCAATCAGTACGAAGCGACAGCACCGGAATACCGTAACCGATCGGTATCAATCCCTGGCACCACCGATTCAAGTCTGCTATGAATTACTTAGCGCGTCCACTAGCGTCAGCGGAGCGGGCCTCCGCCCGGCGCCCGCTCACCTGGGTCAGCTGGTGCAGGTGCAGGAACGTATAGGCGTTGCCGGCCGTGCCGTGACAGAGGCCGTAGCCCTTGCGGAGGAGCCCGCGCGCCCACACCAGATCGGCGCTCTGGCGGGCCAGCTGCAGGTACCGCTCGTCGCCGAACGTCTGCCGGCGCAGCGGCCCGTCGATACACCGCACGCACAGACACCGGCGCCGGCGGGCGCCAGCCGCAACACTGCACGGCGCCTCCCAAACAACAGTAAAACAGCGCACCAAGCCAGACCTGCGCCCGCCTGAGCAGCACCCTACCCACCCGTGGGGACGGGATCTCACTGCCAGCTCGCAGAGCCGCGGAGTCGTCGCTCGACACCGACCGGCCACACCGCCATTGACTGCAGCCAACGGCCCATCCCCGGCGGCGTGCGGCGGCGCTCCGTCCAGCAGCTCGGCACACCTCTCAGCCAGGCTCGGTGTCACGACCTGACTATATGACCGGCATCCGGGACACTCGGTCAACCAGACAGAGGCACGTGCAGACGATACATGACGAAGCTCGGCACGCGCTATACTCGCCGGTCACAGCCAAACCATCCCATTTAGCACGGGCGACAGCCAGCACGGGCGACAGCCAGCACGGGCCCCCACCCGCGCGTATGCCGACAGCTACCACTCCCACAACCGTCCATACCGCGGCGTGGAAAACGCACCGGAGTCAAACCAGCAACTAGCTTCCTCATTTACCGAGTATAACACGGTCGACATAAAAAAGCTAAGTGCGGACAACCAACAATACATCATGGATCGGATGATCCAAGAGGTCACGTCAAATGCTCTCCCCCCCCCCCCCGGACGGGGACACCGACAGCAAAGGTCAGGTCATCGGTGTCTCAGCCGCACTCGGCACCCCAGACTAAACGTGCGGGAGAAGCCGAGGCGTCAGTGTCTCAACCATACCTGGTACGCCAGGCAGAACATGTGGCAGAAGCCAGGCGCGCCGTGGCACCAGTGTACGAGCCGGTCGGAGGTGCGGCTCTCGAGCGAGGACGGGTAGTTGCCGGAGGGCAGCCGAAGCCCAGCCAAGTAGTCCACTGTCGGTAGGACCAGGTCGGCCAGCGCAGGTGGCGCCACCAGCTGCGGCACCTGTCGCCAGAGGCGGCCGTGTGGCGCCGGCGGTCACGGCCATCCTCGCGCAGGGCGTCACCGTGACGGCGGCAGCTCACACCCCACACGCACGCGCCCAGCGATCGTACAGACCAGTCTGCCGACACCCCGCGGAGACCGGCCATGAGCCCGGACACGACACTAGGCTACGTGGCCTGCTTCCGGCCGGTGCGCTGGCGCCTCCGCGTGCCGGCGCCCGGCCGCCGACCCGGCCCGTGCCGGCGCTCGCCTGCAGCAGCAGCGACAGGATGCCGCAGAGGCCGTGCGCGGCGCCCAGGTAGTGTTTGTCGTGCCAGGCGTACATCAGCGGGCACGGCGACCGTTCGCGCGCCGCCAGCCGGGCACCGCTGGACACGATGGCGGACACCGTCTGACGACAGGAGAGGTCCCAGTCAGTCGGAGAGCCCTGCTCTTGTCACCCCACCCCGGGCCGCCAGCTGAGCACCGCTGGACACGATGGCGGATACCGTCTGACGACAGGAGAGGTCCCGGTCAGTCGGAGAGCCCTGCTCTTGTCACCCCACCCCGGGCCGCCAGCTGAGCACCGCTGGACACGATGGCGGATACCGTCTGACGACAGGAGAGGTCCCGGTCAGTCGGAGAGCCCTGCTCTTGTCACCCCCACCCCGGGCCGCCAGCCGGGCACCGCTGGATACCGTCTGACGATAGGAGAGGTCCCGGTCAGTCGGGGAGCCCTGTTTTAGTCACCCCACCCCGGGCCGCCAGCCGAGCACCGCTGGACACCGTCTGACGACAGGAGAGGTCCCGGTTAGACGGGGAGCTCCGCTCTTATCACCCCACCCCGGCCGACAGTCGGGTACCGCTCGAGACGATGGCGGGCACCGTCTGACGACAGGGGGAGGTCCCGGTCAGTCGGGGAGCCCTGTTCTAGTCACCCCACCCCGGCCGCCAGTCGGGTACCGCTCGAGACGATGGCGGGCACCGTCTGACGACAGGGGGAGGTCACAGCCGGTCCGCGCGAAGCCAGCCCTCGAAACAGTCCGACAGCGAAACGTTGATCCAGGCAGTTAACAGAAAATGGAGGAGCTTCAACAACGCGAGCTTCGGGAATTGGCTCAAACTTTTATCACGACCATTACGCACCGCAATATCTTGTAGTTAGTCACATACACCTATTGCACCTGGGGCAAGGCTCACCTTTTGCATTGCCTCTTCTAGATTCGGCACGTCGTTTCCGAACGTGCGACGGATATAGAGGAGGGTGGCCAGGTAGCCAGCTCGTCCATACAGCAGCTCATCCGGCAGCGATGATGACTCTTCCACCGCAAATGCCAATTTCATCACACTGCCGGACACAGGAGACTGTGCACCAGAGCCAACACAACAGACTAGGGCCTCCTTGAAACATGCCGAACTGGAACCCATACCAGCAATCAACATTTCAACATTTAGGAGCATATGGCCATAAATCCTGGCCACTGGATCTATATCAATAAGACCGCAGCACCAGCGACATTGTTTTCTATAAATGCAGCATGGAATGCACTCAATGCTCATAAACTTGCAATAAGTTTTGGGTGTTTTGTAAGACAGCCTAGCCCGGCCATCGCACCTGAGATGTAATGAATGCGTTCTGACCACCTGCTACACATCACTGGTCCCGGTATCACGCCATTATATCGAGTTCCCAGACTGTGTGGTCGGAGTAGAGCGGCGGGGCGACAGCAGTCGGCGCACCAGGCTGCAGCACTGCACCAGCGGCGGGTCCACATCAGAGGCCTGGCATCAGATGGAGCCGGACGTACGTTGCCAGTCGGCGGCGCGCCTCCTCAGTGCGCCGCTCCGCCTGATGGACGGCGGCCGTGACAGCCACGACCCCGGCGTCCCCACACAGCAGCGTGGGCCGACGGTGGCTGGGGCGCAGCGATGGCAGGCGCGGCTCCAGCTCGGCCGCCCTCTGCCATATACCAGGAGGCGACATCAGGGGCATGTCAGGGGCAGAGCAGGACCGCACATCAGGACCATGTGTTGTGAGGTGACTGGTGCACTATCAGGAGCAGGCTTCAGGAACCAGCCTTTATATCATAACTGGGTCAGTACTGCATGTCAGGAGCTGGCATCAGGATCAAACTGACACCACAGCTGATAACTGGACCAGGACTTCACAACAGGACTGAACCAACACCACACATCAGGAGCTGGCCAGCACTGCCCATCACAGCTACATGCCAGCACTGCAGCAGTTCATGCCAAACAAGGATTCAGCCTAGGGATCTGGGTATATGGACCTAGAGAGTGAGCTCATATTGTCTTGCATGGGGCATTCCCATTTAAAGGTATAACAGCAGTCCTTTACATCATGTGGAGTTTGCAGGCTGGGGTCAACAGACCATTTCAAACCAACACTCAGTTATAGTCACTGACAGATAAGCAGCTTATCACATCTGAGCAGGTCAGGGCACTGGAAGTGTGCACACATAAAATCAAGCAGATTGCTCTCCTTCTGCTGTTCTGCAGAATGACATCATTGGGGGGGAGGGGGGGGGGGGTGAATCACAGCACAGCACACAATGCTAATGCCATTACCTGGAGGTACTTAGTGTCACTAGTGACTGAGTTCAGGTGCATGAACAACAAAATCAGTCCAGCTGTTCCTGTGTAAACACTGCTGTCATCCCAGTCGGCATCACGCTCCATGTCTGCCTCCAGTCTGCCCAGCAAGTCTTGAATCCAAGACTCCAAGTGAGTTTTGAATGCAGGAGCCAGCTGTAAAAGTCCCCCAAGAGATGCAAAATAGATACTGCATCATGTTCTGCACTATATCAAACAATGCTTGCATCACATTTTTCTGCACACACACCTTTATTCATATTCCAGGTGGATAAGACTGGTGACAACCAAAAGCTTCATTAGTTTTGCATTCTGATGCAATGACCTGTGCCATGACATCACAAGATGAGAATGGGAATTTATCATCAAGAGCCTGTGCCATGACATCACAAGATGAGAATGGGAATTTATCAAGAGCCAAGAGCCCAGTACACTGCTATGCCACAATTTGTGCACCTCCGAAAAAGACAACGCATTTACCCCTGCAATCAGCCAAAGCAAACTTACCCGCCATGAAGTTCCATCTTTTACCAATGGGCAATCTTTTAAAGAAATATCAAAGTCATCGAACGGATTCCGAAACTCCCGCCTATCCGCACTCATTTTTCCACCAATGGCTGGCTGGGAATGAAGAAACAGGAACCTATCAACGATCAACCCGGGAGGCGTTGTATCGCCCTGACCCGGGAGAACCAGCCGCAGGACCCGATACCGCGATATGGGTGCTTTCCTCCACACTGTACGCCAATGCAGAAATCAAAACACCAATGACCTTGACTGACAAATTCCACCAAGGTTTGACAATCTGGTTCGAAATGTAAAAATGACGTCATAACTGCTCGGGGAAGGGCGAAATGGCTTTCGTTACGGCTGTCTTGTTTCTGTTGGTGGCTGGAGAAGAGTGCGGTGTGAAAGCACTAGCGCCGGTTTTTACCTCTGCGTGGGCGATCATTAGTCGTATATCAGAGTGAAACGAAGTCCGTAAGCATCATTCCAGTTGCGGTGACCATGCATTGAAAAAATTATTGTCTGGCGCAAACCAATTGTGTGAAGAAAGATGACGACGACTGAAGGGCGTCTTTCCCACGGTCGCACCGTCTCCTCACTGCGCTCCAAAACATCGTCTCGTTTGTTCGCCACTTGCGCTCCCTTAGTTCCCTACAATTCCCACTCCGAACGGTCATGATGCGGTCACTGCCTTGCATCAAGACTCAACAGACTAGACTAAAGACTTAACAGTGAGCAGGGAGGCCAGCGCAAGCTCTGTGGAAACATGTATTGAGTTCACAAGTTCATCCGCGATAAACTCGCAGCGGCCCCCATACACTGAAAGCGTGTGCCATGATACCCTTCAGCGTTTAACAACATCCAGCCACCACAGCAGACCGCCCCAGATGAGCTCCACCGACCCCTTCCCTCCCCCACCGCTCAGCGGCGACCCACGCTCCCAGCGGCCTCATCACGGGCTGAAGAGCAGCTTGAACGGCGGCAGGGGCGACATGCCCAGAGGTGTGTCGCCGTGCGCCGCGAGCTGGCCAGACGTCTCCGGCGCGGTGGGCGGCGCCGTGCCCGGCTCGGTCAGCTCCGCAGTGCCGCCCTCGTCCGCCCGCCGCTGCGCCACCTCACGCAGTATGGCCTTGCCCTCCTCGCGCGTCTCGGGGAACTCAGTGCACTTGGCCGCGTGGTGGGCCGTCTCGTCCAGCTGGCCGCGCACCAGGAAGTAGTTGGCCATGAAGCGGTAGGCCTGCGCCTGCTCCTCGCGGTCCCAGACGTCGGAGCCCTCCGAGTCGCGGATGTAGTCGGCGTAGGCGGCGGCGGCGCGCATCGGCTGCCCCAGCCGCTCGAACAGCTTGGCCAGCCGCAGCAGCGCGAAACCTGACGGACACGGCCGGAGGCGACTGGGTCTGAATCAGGGCAACGTCTGGCATACGACGGCGGCGCCGCGTGCTACAGGGAATCCATCTCTGACGGAGAGCGGCGACAAGGTGCACTTCAGAAAGTCCACAAAGAGGAGTACAAGACAGTCGACGGAGTCTGTCTACTAAGCAAAAGTTTGCGGTACAAATAAGCAGAAGTATTGTTCGGTACAGGAACGATTACCGATGGATGCGGAATCATTTCCAAACGTCAAGAAGAGTTCATGAGATACAGAAGACAACGCACCTCATTGGTCGGTTGTAGTGATACAACTTCGGGACATCAAACAAAACGCAGTGATGACTGACAGGGGTTCAGCTTCCTATTCAGTTTGGGGGGGGGGGAGGCTCAAGCCCCTCACCCAACTTAAAGGCGAAAGTGGGCCATATCCTGGGAGAACCCCATTTGTTAGCGCGTTTCAGGATAGGTTTCTCATTTTTCATTGTTAACCCAGCCCGTGAGGTCCTCTAACGTAAAAGCTCCCGCGGTCACGTTCGTCTTACACGAGCGGAGCGAAAGTTATACATCGAGGGCGGTTGGCTCCGGGAGCACATAATCTTCCGCAAACGCTTCCTTTTAGCCCAATGTCAATCGTGGTGCAACCAATTCAAAACAAGCTAGCTAAAACAACAGGGAAAAAAGCTTGCTGACAAGCAAGGGTCAAGACCTCATCACCAGACCCAGAGCCCACCTTCAATGTCGCCGATGCTGTGCGCCTTCCAGTAGCAGCGCTTGGCCTCCTGGAGCTTGTCCAGCTTCTCGTAGGACTCGCCCATCGCCATCAGCATGCGGCTGTCGTTGGGTCGCAGCTGGTGCGCCTGCTTGTAATAGTACTGGCAGTACAGCGGCATCTTCAAGATCTCGTACATCTGGCCGAGCCCGTACCAGGCGCGGTAGTCCAGGCGGTTGACGTCGATCGCCTGCCGGTAGCACTGGATGGCGGCGTTGGTGTTCTTCAGCTCCAGGTATTCGTGGCCCATCAGCGTCCAGGCGGCCAGGTAGCTGGAGTTCAGCCGCAGTGCGCGCTGGAAGTAGAGGATCGCCTTCTCGTGCTGGTTCTTCAGGCTGTAGTAGTTGCCGATGACGCAGCACGTCTCGACGCTGTACTTGTTGATCTGGGAGAGGTTGTGCGCCAGGTTGCACAGCTCCACCTGCATGCCCTTCACATACAACAGGTTGCTGTACGAGTCCATGTTCTCCATACGGCACGGGTCGGTCTTCAGCAGGCCCTGCGAAGACACAAAGCTAGTCAAAAAAGATCCTGATAACAGCGCTGCGAAACTCTGAACAATCCGGACAGCACTTCCCCGAGCCGGACGTAAGTAGCACGTGGTACGGACACAGAGTGATGTCCCTCGTCTCTAGCCATGTCCGCCTCTCTGACAGGGTCAGTTTCCACCGCCTGTGACGAGGGAACTCAATTAGTATATCTATAGCCAAATACAACACATTACCCCGACACTTGGGGTCAATGCTCGATCAAGGTTCGGTGATACCGAACCAGGCATATAGAAGCGACCGACCCCGTTCTTTGCGTTCTTTGCCTACGATTCTTGAAGATAATTACAGTACTTCGGCATGTGCAATTCGTGCATGCCGATGCTTTGTCTACATAGCAGGTACTTACAAATGGACACAGAATCTGTGAACACCTGCTGCCTACTTCAACATAGTTGTCAGCCTCATGTACACTCCAAAGCAGGGTTTCAAATATGATTTTACCGCGGTGCAACGAAAATCCGTCACTCTAACAGCACCCCGTGCTATCATCTGACGCCCATCGCCAGTATCCCGGTCCGCGGTGTCCTCCACACCAGTGCCTCTGGCCAGCGGTCCGGCCCGGGCGAGCACGCACCTGGAACACCTCGATGGCCTGGTCCACCTCGCGCATGTTCTGGTAGCCGATGGCGATCTGGGCGCTGATGTAGGCGGCGCGCTGCAGGCCCGCCTGCTGGAAGCCCCGGTAGATGGCCAGCGCCTCGGCGTTCAGCTGCAGGTCCAGGAACACCTGCGCGTAGAACAGCTGGCGCATCCAGGTGTCGGGCAGCGTGAGCAGCGCCAGCATCTCGCGGTCGGTGACGAGCGCGGCCAGCTCGAGCCACGCCTGCCACAGCAGCGGCTGGCGCGTGACGGCGCGCACCAGCGCCTCCACCGCCGGCGTGCGCAGCTCCAGCCGGCGCAGCACCACGCCGTACAGGTAGCTGACGAAGCCGTCAGCGTCGGGTCGTGCGTGCAGCGCCTGCAGCTCTGCGCGCAGCTCAGCCAGCTCAGGCGACTTGAGGCGCTGCGCCGGCGTCAGCGGGTCGGGGCTGTCCTCGGCGCGGCGCCGCTCCGCCGCCAGGTAGCGGGCGTACAGGTGCAGGAAGCGGCCGCGCCGGCCCACGCAGCGGCCACTTTGGTGCGCCGCCCGGTCCAGCTCGCCGCACAGGAGGTAGTCGTGCGCCAGCTCGGCCGCCTCCAACTCGGACTCCGACTCGGACTCGGACTCGGCCCCGGGCTCGGTCTCGATGTCACCGATCGGCTGCGGGCGGAGCGATCGGTCGAGCGGACAGGTCAGACCCTGCGGGGACGGACCGCCGGCCAGCGCAGGCAACAGTCGGCTGCGGACGGAGCGATCGGTCGGGCGGACAGGTCAGACCCTGCGGGGACGGACTGCCGGCCAGCGCAGGCAACAGCCAGCTGACGGTCCATCGCACAACCAGACACAATTGCGACTGGTCTAGCTGCATGCCCATGAGGCAGATGACCATTACTTGCGAGTACATTGCGTTATACTGACGGTGTGGACTTAATCAATGATCTTCTGAAGTGAACAAACATTTAACAATTTTATGAGGGCCACTGATTGAATGTTAAGTTGAATACACACCTTACTTATTTATTAATTAATACAGTTAGTCCAGTCTTAATGAAAGGCCTTGTGATATTAGTCTACACTAGGCAGGGCTTGTTGTATGAGACCTGCTCCCACCATACGATCGTGAAAGTCCCGTTCAATGTGTGCTGCAACAGATCTAACGTGCTGCAATGCTCGAAGCGATATCCCCCACCTTTTGACCTCGTCTGACTTCGCACAACCACTTCCACCAGCCACAAACCATCCCAGCTAGAGGCAACTACCAAGTGCCCATGTGAATAATCGAGTCCACACAGGAGCCCATATCAGTTGTGTACCTCACCATGGGCCTGTTGTGAGGTAGGCGCTATAACTGAATGACCCACTGTGATGGAAACATTACACATGGTCTGCAAAAGGATGAAGATGACTGGTAGAAAACTTACCTGTGATGCATCTTCTTTCACATCTTGCAGTGCCAAAAGCATCTCCCCACACCACTTGCTACAATGTCGCAAATACCGTTCTCGACATAGGCCACGTATGGTTCGAAGATCACGCTTCATTGATGGCAGGTCCAAGACTAGCTCTTCAACTTGTCCAGCCATGGTGCTTTAGATTGTCTGATGATCACTGGAGAAGAACTGTGTCACACTGGTTAGAGCACTGGCTCAGAGATGCCTGTCTCTAGTCTTGAGTCACCTGGTGAATTGTGTGTACTCAACAGCATAACATAACCTGCTGCTGTGGTTATGCATGGTTAAAAGAAATGTTTCACATTTGAAGATACTGAAGCAAACATCAGACATGATGAAACAAGCTCACTTATACCTATTGGTATACTTTTTAAGTGGAAAACACTGCTCTAGACAGCACAACTCTCTGTTTAGTAGATATGACCCCCAATGCACCATGGCTTGATACCATCATTATACCTTGAAAAACACTTGACTGAGAACCAATTCATTGCTGCTATGCCTGGAAATTGTGCTCATAAATGCCAGATATGAACAAATGCCAGGACATGAATGCCAAACAAATTATACTCTTTTTGGCCTTGATTGGTTGCTTATGGAATGACAGAAATTGAATGACATAACTATGACATAATCAATGCCAAACTGGCTTTGAAATACCCTCCCCAAAAGCCTTTCCCCATTTTTGTGGGCATGCAGCTCATAAACTAGAGGGGCTTGGGTCTTAAGAAAGGCAGGATTGTGAACAGCACTGAAAGGTCTTCAAGATAGCTATTTCAATTCAATGCCCCATATCAATGTGGAACACTCCCCTCTGCTGAGCAGATCCAAAATGCAGGGGAAAGTCCAGCAGAGATAGATTGAAACACACCATGCATTACTTTGGGTTTTGTAACTATCCATCTCTGTATCATTTCTTATGTTGTCAGCAATCAGCCAGAAAGATAATGAATTGAGGGCAGCATCAGATTTTCCCAGAAAGTACCTGGCAGTCAGCCTGATTACCAAAGAACAATGGGGCCTGTAGGTCCCAGGCAGCCATAATCACCAGCAGCATGACCTATATGACAATTTTCACCTTTCAGACAAGATTGGCTTAGTAAAACAAGATTAAAAGCTAGGTTATGACAGGCCCACAAATCTGCACCACTCAGGGAAAAGATGATCTTGCACTGAACTAGCTTTATATGAATGCAGCAGAGTGAATCTTCAGCACACATGGGATCAAAATATCCATCACACTCATGCCACCCAGATTGCTGTTCCAATAAAACACATGGGCATAACCTATCTATAGCTGGGAGAGCAGTCAGCTTTCAGGTGCATCTTCCTGCAGTTTATACACAACCAGTTCATACTTTCCAAAGGTTTAAGCTTTGCCAAAGTTAGGAAGGAATGCCCCAGTGTGGCTCTAAGTCAAATATCATGGCGCAGTGCTGCGATGCTCAGCACAGTCCCACCTCCCCTCTGACATCAACTGATAAGCAGTCACAGCTTCTGCCACAAGTCAAGGGCACACAGCCAGCACATCAAGTGCCCAAGCCTACCCTGCCATGGGTGGTGAATCAAAAGGTAGGTGATCTAGCATGTTCTCAGCATGCTGAGATTGGTGGCAATACTGTGCCAAACTGCTGCATGAGACCTGAAATTGTTGCAGCAATTGCTATAGGTGCCCAGCACTGAGGTATTCATTCCTGTAATTAGTGCAATTTATTTTGCCAGTTGTTAACATCAGCAAGTGATCTGGAATTGGAGTGGCATGAGATGCGCGCCCCTACAACTTACCGAACGGCATGAGATGCGCGCCCCACTATTTGCGGAACGGCATAAGATGCGCGCCCCTACTATTTACAACACCCGGCGGTTTCAATGCCCTGACCAGCTTTGACCAATCATGCCTTACGTCGCATACCTCGCCTTGGCACCAGTCCTTCCGGCGCCCACGGCTCTTCCACATACGCGCTAGATAGGCACCCAGCCCCTGTAATCAAAAGGCTCTCGCAATGACCGCCGTTTTCGTGCTTGAAGTGTGCAGAATGTTTACAGTGCGTTCATTAATGCTGAAAAACTAAGAAATGACCAATAATTTTCATGATAATACTAAACAACCAATCAAAACGATAATATTTCGCTCGCAGCCAAGAACACGCGCGTTTCAAGCACACTGACAACAGACAACCTTTGCTGTCGACTGCGTTGGTCTCGTCTGGGTCGCGTCAAGGACGTATGAGGCCCCGTGTTATTGTGCGGAAAGTGGTCTTGCTGACAAGTGAGCTTCGAAATTCTGCCTGGTGCGTATAGAGCTATAAGTTGCTTACGAGATTGATGCGTTCATTTCTGCTTACCTGAAGCCATGCTTAAATCCGTGAAATTTTGTGTAAGGTTTTGGCCTTAACGAAGTCCTCGAAAGTAGCAGCCAAGTATCATGCGGACATGACTGCCCTCATATGATCATACCATGATCTGCACATACCAATGGGTCGTGTGTGTGTGTGTGTGTGTGTGTGTGTGTGTGTGTGTGTGTGTGTGTGTGTGTGTGTGTGTGTGTGCGTGCGTGCGTGCGTGCGTGCGTGCGTGCGTGCGTGCGTGTGTGTGTGTGTGTGTGCGTGTGCAGTTGCTGAAATCGCTTCATGGGGATTTCAGAAACCCATGTGCTCTGTTGTAATCTATGTGGCTTGTTATCTTTGCTATGACATATGACATTTTGGCATTATTGCAGATAACCATGTCAACAGAACATGATAAAGCAGTTCTCAACAGTATTTTAGACCCAACTCTACCACTGGGTGATGTTTCCAACTTTGATTCACTTCCTTCAGAGATATCAGCCATTGAGCTAGATGGTATGTATTTGATAGTGGACTTGGCATATTTTTGGGAATGTTAATGGCTTAGAATTGGTGATACCACTCCTTTATCAGTTATCTCCATTTTTTATTGCCACTTGTTTTAGCATGCAAGTTCATTCTTGAGCTTAAAATAATGCCTGTAATCATAAACTTGGTCAAACTGATGCTTCACCAGCAATCTGTGCACATCATTTGTAATGTAGTCTGGCTGCCACCAAGTCATTGCTTGCACAGTCTGCTCATGCTGGTGCATCCAGTTCTGGCCAAGCTGTTGTTTGTACTGTGTGGCCCAGTTGGTGCAGCCAGGCTGAACCAAGCCATTGCTTGTACTGCATGGTCTGGTTGGTGCGGCCAGGTCCAGCCGAGAGCGACTCGCCCGAAAGTCAGCGCTCGCGCGAATTGGAGCTGCAGGCGGTGAGGACCGCTGAGGAGGGGGACCAGGAGGCCGCGCTACGCCTGCTTACTGAGGCCGTCACGCTGGCGCCCCAGCGCGCCTCGCCCTATAACAACCGCGCCCAGCTGCTGCGTCTCATGCACCGCAACAACGGTGAGCGGCGTTCAGGGAGGCCTGGACAAGGCGACGGGATGCTCCCGACCATTGGAGAATAGATCGCCCTCTCCTCCCCAGGCGATGAGTGGCGCTGGGCGCTGGCAAAGATGCGGTCTGTGATGCTGTTACAGAGGCGATGAGGGCCGCCGTAACAGATGTGTTGCGTGACGTCGTTACGGAGACGCTCCGTGACGCTTGCCGCCGGTACAGAGGCGCTCAGCGACGCCTGCCGCCGTTACAGAGCTTGGTGACACCCGTCGCCGTTACGGAGGCGCTCGGCGACGCCCGCCGCCGTTACAGAGGCGCTCGGTGATGCCCGCCGCCGTTACAGAGGCGCTCAGTGAGTCCCGTTGCCGTTACAGAGGCGCTCAGTGAGCCTCGTTGCCGTTGCAGAGGCGCCCATTAAGCCCCGTTGCCGTTACAGAGGCGCTCAGTGAGCCCCGTTGCCGTTACAGAGGCGATGGGTGACGCCGAGCGGGCGGTGGAGCTGAGTGAGGCGCGCGGCCTGGCCGGCCGCCAGGCGCTCTGCCAGCGTGCCCAGCTGCACCAGCTGGCCGGACAGCAGGAGCTGGCGCTTGACGACTACCGGCGCGCCGCGCAGCTCGGCAGCCAGTTCGCCAAAACTCAGGTGCGTTCGCCTTCTGCCGCAGCCACCGCGCGGACATTCGCGAGGTATGGTGGCGGTCTTTGGTTTCCCCGAAACGATGTTTTACGTGCTTTGTGGTTGGCACTCCGCGAACAACATTCTCTTCTCAGTGTATGCTCTCACAACTGTGTCGAACTCAAGCCTGAAATAATTTAGGTGCCATGAGTTCGAAAACCTATCTTTGTTTTATCTTGTATATCATGATTTTGATAACAAGCGTCTGTCGTACTTTCGCCTCTGCAGCTGGTGGCCCTCAACCCGTACGCCGCACTTTGCAACCGCATGTTGAGCGAGGTGATGAGCAAGCTGCGCGAGGGCGAGGTTAGCGGCCCGAAGACATGAGGGGGCGAGGCATCACCGACACGTAGAGCCGCTTGATGCCGCCACAAGCCGCGGCGGTACACGAGCTGTAGTGAAGGGGCGCAAATATGGTGAAGGTACGCTAACTGCAAATATTCCGTCCATAGTTCCGTCCGAAGAAGAACGGTGTCCCATGCAGGGACACGCTGTGTTGTACAAGTCCAGATGATGCTTAACGAGACGAAGCGCGCTGTCGAATGAGGTGAAAAGTCGTTCAGGTGTTCGGGGCGAGATTTTGGCTTAAGGCCTTCTTCTTGTCCGGACATTGTATGCTTTTACTGCGCTGTGCATCCAGCGATACGATTGTGTCATATGATCGGGCTGTGGCCGAGGGTCGTGCAATATACACCCCCGATCGTATGCGTCTGCCTTCTCACGGCTGGCTGTACCATGCACTGCCAGTCGCAGACTGTGGGTTGTGCCCACGACCCGGGGAACCGGGGCAGGCGGGCCGCTCGCCATCAGCCCGGTACCAGGCAGTCCGTGCCAGCTGCCTAGAAGGACCGGCCGTTCAAAAGCGGCCGGCGAGAGGCCTCACAACCCGTCAGACGCCAGTGATTTATTTTCCTGCCCTGCGTGTACCTCGGCTTTGTGAGCAGGGCGCGGCGGGACGGGGGCGACCGGTGTGTCGGTGTGAGAGCGGCGGAGGGGACAGACCTGACGGCACGACACTGCACGATTTTGTCGCTGCACGGCACGGCCGGCGCGTCACGCCTCGAACGACTTTGTGATGAGGTTGATGCGTCGCATCTTGTCCTCGAGCGAGGATCGGCTGGCAGCAGTCTCCGCCGACACCTCGCGCAGCATGGCCTCGATCTCGCGCACCTGTCGGTGAGGCTCCGTCAGGCCCGGGGAGAAGCTGCAGCACGACTGACTCGATTCACACAGCGCCCTGGCTCGCAAGGCACGCTGGCTTGTCTGGCACCCCAGGCCCGACTCACGCGGCACCCCGTGCACGGCTCATGAAGCAAACCGGGCCCGACTCACACGGTACCCCGAGTCCAACTCGCGCGGCAAACCGGGCCCGACTCACACGGTACCCCGGGCCCAACTCGCCCGGCAAACCGGGCCCGACTCACACGGTACCCCGGGCCCAACTCCCTCGGCAAACCGGGCCCGACTCACACGGTACCCCGGGCCCTATTCACAGCGTCGTCACGGTCACAGACACATCGCTTGCTACCGGAGGCGGCTGTGCCAGCCGTGACCAGCCGCGACTAGTGCCCGTCAGAGGAGCGGTGTATCGTGTGCCTGCTCACCCGTTCGGCGCTCTTCTGAAGCTCGTGGTCCTTGGAGGCGCGCATGCCGTCCAGCTGTGCCTCGAACAGGCCGTGCATCTCGTCCATCTTGGCCTGATACTCGGAGTCCAGCGTCTGGCGGAGAGGGGTCTGCGCAGTCAGGGCCCGGGCACAAACAGCTATAGTGTATAACGGGAAACTCAAAGGTGCAGTTCGATCCGATTCATCTGGATTTGGCAGCACCGTCCAGTCGGACACGGACTTCGTAACAGGGCCAAGCCCGCCGTGGTGGTCCCCCACTAAGTGACGACTGGCACAAGGGTTTGGTAATGTTAAGAGGCATATGATTACACGACGGGCAGCTGCGGCCTCTCCCTCCACCCATCTGGAGCACCAGGTGAGCCCCGCCTGCTCCCCGCGGTAGGGTAGCATCGCCATGACAACAGAGGCCGGCGCCCCCTGTGGTAACCTGCAGCTTCCTGGCGGCCTGCTTGGCCAGGTCCATGGCCCGGTCGCGCTCCTGTCGCAGGTTCGCCACCTTGTCGTCGTTCATGGACCTTCCCATCTTCACCTGCCGGCCGGGGCGGGGTCAGACGTCGCTGGATCCGACCGCTGACGTCACTGGATCACGGTCACACGCCGGGCGTCCGATCTCTGAGCGGTAGAGAGGACTGCGACTGGTGCGCCATCTCTCCGCGGCCGGCGGCCCCGCACCGTCTGCAGTGGGGGAAGACGCGACCGCACCGCCGCTCGCCAGACCGCGGCTGCGGACTTCAGAGCCGAATACGCCAGGCTGGAGCATTGACCACGTGCGGTCAGTACAGATGATCGACTCCAGAGCACTTTGCACAGAACCTTAGAAACGACCTGTCGCTCCGCCGTGACCGGGAGGCGACGCGGTCCTTCACCGGCCGGCCGTCTCTGACCTGGGTCTCCAGCTTGCGGATGAGGTCGACCTTCTCCTCCCAGAGCTTGGACCAGCCCTCGTTCTTCTTGGCGCAGCGGTCGAGCTCGCGTTCGGCGTGCTCCAGGCGGCTGATGAGCTGCGCCTTATTCTCAGACAGCCGGTCCAGCTCCACCTGCCGTCCGGCGGCGTTAGGTCGGGCACCTCAGCGCGGGGTGGGGTCCGCTCAGCACAGGACGGGGTCTGCTCAGCACGGGATGGGGTCCGCTAAGGGTGGCATCCCCTCAACATGGGATGAGCCCGCACAGTCCCCGCACTAGCGCACCACGAGGTGCGCTGGTGCAACTCGTGGTGCACCTCCACTCCCGCACCTTCGCCCATCACGTTAAACCCCTGCCCCACACCGCCATGTCAGATAAGCTTCCGGTCAGCCCTCGCACCACCGTAGACGTCCGTCCAGTCCCCCCGTTGCCTGTCTAGTGGCCGCTCGCTCCCCGCACCTGCAGCCGGTGACAGCGACGCCGTTCCGTCTCCACCTCGGACGAGGCGTCGCCGCGGCCGCGGGACGCGGCGGCCGACTGCCGCAGCTGGCGCAGCTGGTCCGACAGCTCGGCCGCCTGCTTCTCCTTGGCGGCGGCCGCCTCCTGAGCCTTGGTCAGCTCGGCCCTGGCGGCGCGCGCCGACACCGGTCAGCCCCGAACGGCGCCCGGCCGGGGGTCGTCCGGCGTCGGGGGACGCCGCCGGTCAGGAGGGACGGGAGGGACCCACCGCCGCGGACGGTGCCCGGCCGAGGGTCGGTCCGGCGTCGGGGGACGCCGCCGGTCAGGAGGGAAGGGAGGGACCCACCGCCGCGGACGGCGCCCGGCCGGGGGCCGTCCGGCGTCGGGGGACGCCGCCGGTCAGGAGGGAAGGGAGGGACCCACCGCCGCGGACGGCGCCCGGCCGGGGGTCGTCCGGCGTCGGGGGACGCCGCCGGTCAGGAGGGACGGGAGGGACCCACCGCCGCGGAGGTGGGACAGGCCCACTACGAGGGACCCGGACAGACGCATTGCAGAGGACGGAGAGCCAACGTCAGGGGATGGGGGAGATGGACGGTGGTGTAACGGGGGACGCTGATGTCAACAGGACGGGCCACAGCTTCCCGCATGCGTGGACAGCTGTCGGATGTTGGCATGCAGGCAGTATGACGACACGAGCCGTAACCCGCGAATGCATAAGGAGGGCCGTAACCAGCGTGACAAACGGCGCGACAGGGCCGTTGGACAGTCGGCGGCGGCGAGACCGTGGGAGTTGCGTCGGACGGCCGGACGGACCGGAGCGCCGCACCTCAGCTGGTCCAGCTGCGCCTGCAGCTTGCCGGCGCCGGTGGTGTGCTCGGCCGTCATCTCCTCCAGCTGCTGCTTCAGCACCGAGAGCCGGGCGTCGCCGGCGCGGCGTAGCGTGGCCTCCTCCGAGCACCGCTTCTCCGTCTCCTCCTGTGGGCACCAGCCACACCGTTAGGTCGAGCCGGTGGTGCCACGGGACACACACCTCGCGCCGGCACCGGGACGCTCAGGGAGCGGCCTATAGCAAAGTTGAAGTCGAGATATAACCTTCAACAGGGAGTCGTTCAGCAGGCGTAGTCATATGTAACCGGGAGATCATAGCCCTCAAAGGTTCTCAGACACCCAAAACCCAACCGCGGCACTCTCTAAACCGCACGTGAGATAACAATGGGCCGGTGGATTATTGGCATTGACATAGTCTCCGCTCATGTTTGGACTTAAATTCGTTGAGGCCACAGACAATGCTGCTCTTCTTAGGGAGAATTGAATGAAATCTCCTGAAGCCACCGACCGCTTTTGCATTGAGGGTGAGGGTGACGTACCAGCTTCTTCTTCACGCCGCCCATCTCAGCCTTTTCCTGCGCCTGTTTCTGCTGCGCTGCCTCCAGCTGTTTGACCTGCGCGGACCGGGCCGAGGTCACGAGTGTCCAACTTTGTGGGATGAGCAGCACCAGCTCCGAGGGGCTCTCGAGCACGGCGAGTCATAGTCACGTGTGACGGCGCAACTCACAGTGCTTCGTCCACGTTTTGCTAGGCTGTCGTGGCGTCTTGTCCCCACTACACGATCGGACCGCCGGGGCAGATTTGTTTCGCTTATCGGGGTAAGCAGGCATGCCCATGGATGGATGTCATCACGTCTCCCCACCATGACGCTGGAAGCCGATGTAATCAGCGACACTCGTCACACCGATTATCGCGCCATCGATGCCCGCCAACCTCCCCCGGCGGCCGCCGCGGCACGGGGCCGTACCTTGTTCTCCAGGAAGGCGACGGCGGCGCTGTGTGTCGTCTGGTCGTTCTTCCGCTGCGCCTCCAGCTTCTCGATCTCCTGCCGCACCGTCTTCAGCGTCCTGCGAGCGGCAGCGAAGAGCGCGTGACAACGCTGGCAGCGACGCGACACGATCCGCAGCCAGACAGCGAGCCACACTGTGACGGCTGCCTCAACGCAACTCACACGGACGCCGGGCAACGCGCGCAGACTGAAAGTCCAAGCGTTGCTGGGCGCTTGCAGCTGATGCGCCGCTCGCCAGCCGGACAGATTCCGTGTGCGTGCCTGCTAGTGTACTAGTTAGGCCTGTCAGCGTGCGCGCAGGCTGTTTTGTTGCGCGGGAGCCGGCCCGTCGGGCGTCGAAGCTCGTGAGGCCGGGGTGGCCGGACTTACTGGCTGAGCTCGGTGACCTTCTGCTCCTTCTGTTTGGAGGTGGCCAGCGCCTCACTCAGCTGGCGCTTCTGCTTGTCCTGCTGCTCGGCCAGCGCCGACTTTTCGTCGGCCAGCTCGGTGAACCTGCCGCCGCGGCCGGCCGTCGGTGGTGGGCCGGAGGGGAGTGGGACCGGGTGGGGCGGGGAGAGTCAAAATATTATCTAACACACAAGCTTGGCAGTCAAAACATTTCCTAAGCGCAACGATCAATCAAACCGCCACCACCAATGTGTAAGCCCGCCCGTCTGCTGCCCTGCCTTGGATGACTGTGTGTGGCGGTCATTCGCCGGACGTACCGTTCCTTGAACTTGGCCAGCGCGGCCGTCATCCTCTCGTTATCCTTGCGCAGGCCGTTCGCCTCCTTGTCGGCCTTGGCGCGGACGGCTGCCGCCTCCTTCTGACAGGCGGCGCGCGCCTCCTCCACCGCCTTGGAGATCAGCTTCTGCACGGTCGGGTTGTCGGCGCAATGCCTGGCGCGGGCGCGGGCGTGAGGCGTGAGAGCGTGAGGGTGTGAGGGCGCGAGAGCGTGAGGGCGTTAGGGCACGAGAGCCTTACGACCTGCACCGGCGGCCCTGCTACCTCCCCACAATCTTCGCCGGCGCAGACTCAATACGTATACAGCAAACACTCCTAACGAGTTAACGCAACACGCTGTGCCGTTTTTAAAAAGCGGATCAAGTAAATGAGGAATCCCAACGTGTTAGTGTGGATGTGATGTGGGAATAAACATTCAATCATTGTGCGCATGAATGCGCAGAAGGTTTGGCCCAAGCGCGGCTGCTGGCGTCTACGGAACCAATCACTTTTTCTTCATCTCAGCCATGTGCTGCTTCTCCCTCTCGGCCAATAGGTCCTTGAGCTCGCTGATTTTCTGCGCCTGGCTGGTGCCGTCCGTCTTCAGGTGGTGAAGATGCTCCTGGGCCATCATCAGCTTATTGGTCGTCTGCAAATCAGAGGAAACGATGAATCGTCCACCAGGCGAACGTCACGAGAGCCGCCCGCATGCTGGCACTGGCGTCATAACAGGCGGAAATGTGTTGTAACCGAGCGGTGCTGGGCACGAGGCCCAGAACGAGCGATCTTTAAGGCCCGATCACCACACACAGGCGCTTGGCCCGACCACCACACACAGGCGCTTGGCCCGACCGCCACACACAGGCGCTTGACCCAACCACTACACACAGGCGCTCGGCCCGACCACCACACACAGGCGCTTGACCCGACCACCAAACACAGGCGCTTGGCCCGACCACCACACACAGGTGCTTGGCCCGACCACCACACACAGGTGCTTGACCCGACCACCGTACAAAGGCGCTTGACCCAACCACCACACACAGGCGCTTGGCACGACCACCACACGCAGGCGCTTGGCCCGATCACCACACACAGGCGCTTGCACCGATCCTCACACGCAGGCGCTTGTCCCGGCCACCACACAGGCGCTTGCCCCGACCACGACACACGGGCGCTTGGCCCAACCGCCACACACAGGCGCTTGACCCAACCATCGCACACAGGCGCTTGGCCCGACGTCGGCCTGGAACGAAGCAGTTGTGCATTAGCCTGAGCGGTACGAACCAGATGCAACCCCGTCCTACGAAGCACAACCACCGGACACCCAACTGCCAAGAAGAATAACCGAGATATTACTGGAGTGAATCACGAACTACCAGTGCAGGGGAAGGGGAGTAGTCGTCCTTCCGTATGCACTCCCAAGCGTGATTTGCATCACAGCCTTGCTCACAGCGATGCCGCTGACACCGAAGCTGCTGCTGCCGCAGCTGCTTCCACGACCAATCACAGTGGAGATCATTCAGAAGCCCAGTGACGCAAGCGCGTAACCTCAGCAAGTGACGCGCCCTTAAACCCCAGTCACTGCTACAGGAGCCCAGCGCGGGGGTGGAAACTGCGGGCGTGACGTCATACTTACGCTGCAGGTACCCCTGAACGGAGCTTCAGTCACGGCAGCAAACAGGTGGGCCATGCTTACTGTGACACCCTGAGGCGAATGCGAAGCGTCGTAGTGAAGATCACAGCTGCAGGCAAACTTCCAAGTTGTCAGATATTACTCTTTTGTGAGTGGATGGTGATTCTATCGGCTAATATATGAACATGCCATGTTCAATTTGCGGGCACTGGTCATGGCACGGGTTAGCCTCATTTAAGGGCGGTGGCAGCAGCTCCCTGTGTTCAGTGTGCCCTCCCCCCCCCCCCCCCCGCCTACCTAGTGCTCGAGCGAGGCTGATTACCGGCCGCAGCGGCACAAGTGCCGTGGCCATGCCTCGCGACTGTGCGTCTGGACTACGAACGAAGCACCGCCGACTCGAATGCAGCTTCGGTTGCCGTGAAACGCGAGAGTGCCTCCGACGTCGCGAGCCTGTACCGCCCAGCCCGCCGCAGAAACTCCTCTCGGGAGACGTGCGGCCGTGTTCCCCCACCGCAGCACAGCGTCAGCCACCCCGCTCGTGCCCTGACTGTCACCCGTCCAACGCCTTCCAGCCAGCGCTGCGCGACCGCCGACTCTACGCTGGCGGCTGCCGTCGGCGGCAGTCGGCCGTCGCGCCCCCGACCGGCCAGACCGCGCGGCCCGTACCGCGTGCCCCTCGTTTTGAGCGTCCTTGAGCCGCCGGTCGCGGTCGTCCAGCGCCTGCCGCTGGATCGACAGCTCCAGGTCCCGCTTCCGCACACACTCCGACATGACCTTCAGCTTCAGCTGCAGATCGCTGCGGTCCTCCTGAGGCCGAGGTCAGAGTGCAGGTCAAGGGCGATCAGAGGCGGCACGGCTGATGTCATGTCATGGCATGTAAGGTACCCCACCGCCGAGCTGACACTTCCACACCAGCTAATGACACAACTGCACTAGAAACCTACACTAGAGCGCAAGTAGATGATACTGCTGCACTTATAGATGGCACGACTGCACTAGAAGATGACACTACTGCACTAGTAGATGACATTGCTGCACAAGTAGCTGACACTTCTGCACTGACAGCTGACATAAGTGCACTAGCAACTAACACAACTGCACTAGCAGCAGACACAACTGCATCGGTCATGCGTGCATGATATCGGAGGTTGAGTGACGCAACGAAAGACAACGGTGCGATCCTGCCGGTGGAATATCATTTAGGCAGTCTTGCAACGACCCCGTGCGACCATTGCGCTCGATGCGGTGCGCCGCGCGCCGAGATGAGGTACGTGCAGATGGCTAATTACGCGTAAGGTGTCACGTAACTTATTCTCGTACCACGTCAGCGCCGTGAAATGGGTGTCGATGAACACGACACAATCAGGCCCTGCAGCCAGCCCAGGGACAAAGCCGTGTTTACCGTCCAGTCGGACAGGACACATTAATTCACGGCGCCACCCCATCAGTGCGCCTTATCGCCCGTGGTCACCAGCCTTCTGCATTAGAGGAACCCGTTCGCGGTGCAGTGTCGCGCGTCCCGCGGCCGGCAAGCCCGCGCCCACCTCTGAGCGTCGCAGCTCTCGGGACGTCTTCTCGCGGGTCGACTCCAGGCGCACCGTCTCCTCCTTCATCCTCTGGATCTCGTTCTGAGGACAGGCCAGCACCCCTCAGTCCTGGGAGGCGCCCCCCCCCCCCTCCGACAGGACATCGGCGTTACATCGGAGATCGGCGTTTTGGCGTCACCCTCTGGCGATGACGACCGTCTCCAGACATTTGGAATCTGCCCCTCTCGCCATCAGTCTCCCCCCCCCTCTCCCCTTTCAACAAATCGCAGTCTCCGGAGGATACATCCGTTTTCTGCCGGTTCTAAACGACTCTGCTCGCTTCCTGAGAGAGGGCCCCAGGAAGCATTGTCATGCTCACTGCCAGCCCCCCGCAGCCACGCTCCGTGTGGAGCTGATCCCACGTGCGCCGAGCCGCCGCTACAGGCGGCCGCGGTATGGTGCGGCCGTCTAAGGACGACAGTGAAGCGGCTCAAAAGCCCCAAATTGACTTTGCGTTCCGCCGCTGATGAAGTCGACTATGGGACCCAGCAGCAACAAGGGCTTAAGTGTCGGCCACCGCGGTGTAACTGCTGTCCATCCGCTTCATTCCGTGTGTTCCCAGCGCCCGTCCGTGACCGGGAAATGCCCGGGGAATGACCGGAGGATGACGGGGAGGGGATGCTGGTGTCGTGACCGCGGGATGACTGGGAGATGACCGGAGGATAACCGGGAGATGACTGGGGAATGACCGGAGGATGACCGGAGGATGACCAGGGGTGACCGGGGATGACCGGGGGATGACCGGGAGATAACTGGTGGATATTGATGTCGCGACCGGGGGATGACGGGGGATGATCGGGAGATGAACGGAGGATGACCGGCAATGACGGGGGGATGACAGGGGGGGGGGGGATAACTGGGGGGATGTCGGTGCCGTGACCAGGGGATGACTGGGGGGATACCGGTGCCGTGCCCGGAGGATGCCCGCTGCGCTCATGGCCCGCGAGGCGGCCACGGAGGCCGCCTGGGCTGATTTACGGCCGGTGCCGGCTCGCTGACGCGTCCCATGTGTCACGCCTCGGAGATACTGCTCCGGCCGGATCGAATCTCGTACATCCCCGCCTCATACAAGCCCGCTAAATCACGGCCGGACAGAGCTGGTCTCGTGTGTCTCCTTCATAAGGAAGAGGTGAAGAGGAGTCAAGCCAGGCATGACAGCAATGTGTGCCGCTCATGCAGCGACAAACCCGAAACGTAAAGTGTGTGGGTTGGGGTGGGGGTCACGTTGCACATAATATCTTTCCAGTGAATAACCAATCCTTCAATGGAGCCGTTGTGAAGCGGTTTTCGTGATAGCCACAGGCATCCAGCTGGAAGTCCATATTATATTCTCATTACGCAAAATCCGTCATTTCGGAGACTGCCGAATGTGCTGACATTTTCCCGGTACGTCAACAGATCAGCCAGTGTGGACGACGTGGCTCTCCAACAGCTCCCAGCAGCCGCGTCCATGTCACCGCGACGTCCGGTCCCCACGCCGCCGCGCGCGAGCCGGACCCCGGAGACCCGAGCTCACCTGGATGTGCGCCAGGCCCGACTTGAGCTTGTCCCGCTCGGCCTCGGTGCCGCAGAGGGCCTGGCCCAGGGTGGCCGCCGTCACCTCCTGCTTGACACGCTCGCGCTGCTCCTCGCGGTACCGCTGAGCGCCGCCGACCGTCGGGTCACGGCACGCATAGTCAGACGAGCACACACGCTTGGCGAACGCACACGCCGCCGTAGAGTGGAGGGGGGGGGGGGGGGTCGGACGTGGTGAGGGGAAGTATCCGTCAGCTGGTAGACATCGGTTCACCAGGCGTCGGAGGACAGCCTGAACGGCTACGACTGGTACATCGCACGGGTCACCAACAAAGCAACGGGCAGCACACTGATGCCGAAGGTGCGTTCGCGCCGCACCAAACCCTATCACCAGAACGCGCCGAATTCAGGAGGCAACGATAGGATATCAGGGTTGTCATCTCTTAAAACGCGTTCCTGTCACGTGGCACGGGTCTGAAACCGTCGCCCAAACGGCATACTCCCGGCGTCCGGTGTCGCGGGACGGCAGGACGGCAGCAGGCGCCTAACGCGACAGGAGCAGGCAGCAGGGTGGTCATCACCTGAGCGTAGGCGTTGCATAGCTTGCACTGCTGCGGCGTGAGCATGGCGAGGATCTCCGGGTCGGACGGCAGCTCGGCCGTCATCGCCTCCGAGTCTGATGTCGACCTCTCGCTGGCGCTCACTGACAACGCGGAAACGATGTCACGCACGCGGCGTGCGGTCACAGATGCTGTGGAAATCACCTCCACAAATGTTCACCAGATATTCTGCTGAACGTGAGCGATATCGGAACAAGGCGCGTTTCGGCATGTCACGTGCATGAGCAAGGAACAGGGAGCAATAGCCACTTTCGTTAATGGCTTTTGCGTTAAATGTTTTGAACAATTCGCGCTGTTTAAAATGTAATGTTTCGACAAGTTGTACAGAAACGTTTAGGCTCCCCAGGGATTGTCAAGAATCATTTCCGGAAGAAATGGCCCTCTTAAATGAGAAAAAATAAAAGGAAGCTGTAGGTGTTGGACCGCAACCACGCAAAAAAGTGAGCATCCATGCACGACTTTACGAAACATTTTGGAATCTGTCAGGCCACTTTACGCCCTAAACCTTCGTGAAAAAGCCAACGCCACTATTCACATACGAATAACGGATCGGCAGGCACATGAACACGGCGACGATCGCCCCCGTCGCTGATGGGCTGGAGCGACGCCTCGGTGGGATCAGCTCCGACAGCGGCGCCCACCTGCGAACGTCACGCGCTTCTCCCTGGATCCGTCCTTCACGGGCGGCGACGGAGACCGCGACTGCTGCGACGGCTGCGGCTGCGGCTGCGGCTGCGGCTGCGGCTGCGGCTGTGGCTGCGACTGTGACGATAGCTGTGAGGACGACCTCATCGCGTCCAAACGCTGCTCAAGCCGCGAGATGCGTCGCTGAACGCCGTCGTCGCCTTCGCCGATCGGCGCGCTGGCCTGCCCACCGCGCAGGCGTCGACAGGCGGAAGAGACGCATACAGGTCACAGTGCAGGTCTTTCAGCCGACCTCCCAAGCGCACGACAGCTGTCGCTCGTGGGACACTCGAAAGCTCGGGAGACACTCGGAATTTTGGGAGACACTCGAAGTTTGGAGACACTAGGAAGCTTGGGAAACACTTCGAAGCTCGGGAGACGTTTAGAAGCTTGGGAGATACCCGGAAGCTTGGGAGACACTGGAAAGCTGGGGAGGCACTAGGAAGCTCGGGAGACGCTCGGGCTTCCTCCCCAGAAGGTTAATTTTCACCGCAAACCAAATTGATCCACTTATTAGGCTTGAAATCTACGTAATGTGCTATAATCCCGCCAGTCCACAGAATATTGTTGACATACTTGCGAAAACATTGCAACGTTCCCAACCGAGAGTAAGGATGTATTTTGAGACGCACACAAGCTACTTGTTCGGAGTGCCGCACTTGTCATAGACACTATCGTTTACACGTCTCGGCAGGCTATTTCTCTGGGACCGTCAGGTGCAAACAGGACCAAGCAAGCAGGTCGGTGGCCATGAACAGGACCTCATGCTGTTTAACGTACTGTTATGTATGTGCCTATCCTTGAAAGCGTTTGGCGGCTTTGAGCTTCGAATCCAAGCTGCGGCGATTGGTGGACTCGCGCTCCAACCAATGGACCGCCAATCACGAAACGGGTGAATGGTGCTACTGCTGCCGACCAGGATAAAAGACTAGCTTTTCGTCTGCGCTGGATCCCCGTCCCACCGATTCCATAAAGTTGTCACTGCGATGTACCTGTGTCTCATTTTTTCTAGCTGCGGAATCTTCGTTGCCTGATTTGTTCATGGGTGTGAGCAGGAACTGGATGAGTGTGTCCGGGTCCGGCAGAGATCCCGAGCCCTCGCTCCACATCGTTCCCTGCCGAGCGCCAAGCACACCGCTGTCAGCCTGCCGAGTGACGTCGCTGACAGCGCCATCGTCGACCGCACAGCGACAGCACACAGTTGCCCCGCTGGCCTGCAATGCATCCGGTGAATATACGCACGATTCGGCGGCGGCGGAGTATTGGCTGACGTCATAGTGCGCGCCATTACAGAACCGTCAGCACAGATTCAGGGCCGACTGCTCTCGTACCGCCAGACCGAAGAACCACATGCAGAGCTTCTTAGGGTGCCTTCTCCGCTATTGCGGGCAACTTTGATAAGCAATGGTGCCTATGGATCCTTACGGATCCACGCTTAGGGATCAATGGATCCCTAAGCGTCACAACTCATTCATATGCCTGCTGTCTCCTCCAACCGGCACGGTGCTGCCGTTTGACACGTTTGAAACGCGTGCCGCCGCTAGCGATGGGGGCATTGGAACCTGGGATACGGGCGTGGTAGTGCTGGGCTGCTCGCCTAATTCCAACGCATCAGGCCTTTTGTTCTGGGTCAATTTCAAGGTCGCCACTGGCCAAATTAAGTCATGCGGGCCGCGGTCATACCTGAAAGTATGTTGCTCCCAATGTGGCTTCTTGTAATTCAAATTAGTTATGACGAGCTAATTCATGGTTTTGCCATGCTACAAGTGATATTATTGGCATAAGAGTTGGGCGGGTTAACGCCCGGTTTGCGTTATCTGAGGTCAACTTAGCATGAAACACATTTCGCAAGCCCACCACCTTCAGATCACCTATACGTGCTTCGATGGGTGTTTTGTATGCTGATTCCAAGGAAATGTTCGTCTTGGAGAAGTTAAAGTTGATCTGCGCATGTTTTGAGTCATATCGGTTCAAGCAAGGTAACGCGTGCTGTATGCTGCAATGTATTCCGCAAACCAATCAATCTGGAAACGCCAACACTAAATATGCTCGACCATCTTTTACTTAATTCAATTTACCCGAGATTGCCAGGCTACGTCAGGGATCAAGCCAATTATCGAGGCAATCTAAATGACTTGTTACATAGGCAACGCACTTTTTGCACGACTTATGAAATATGTCGTGGGTTAAATTCTTAGCCAACCAGACCGCTGCTTTTTATTATAGCCTTCAGTGCTATGCTTTCACGCACTGGGAGTTGCATTTTTTCACAACTCATGTACATAGAAGTGAACTGCGAGTCCTCACCACTGGCAGCTTTAGCGCTGACTATCGCAAACGACGCGAAACTCTCGAAAATTAAGACAGCCTCGAATTAACAGCGCCGTAGACTCAAACACGAATGTCTCAAATACTAGAACCTGCAGCGTCTCGGTAACCAAAAGCGCAATTCCAGCTCGCTAAGAATGAGGCCCATGGAGCCGCCGCACCCCCCCCCCCCCCCCTTCTCATCTTTGATAACATTCTGTTTCACTGGATCCAGTGAGCCTATCTGATACGCCCCTGCATACGCTCTGCTTCGCGCCCAATTTGCGGACAGCTGAGCTGGTATGTGAAGCAGGTCAGGTAATCGAGAAGTCCAGCCTGGGATCCGTTTTGACAGGCAGGTTTCGGCTCTCCCCAAAGGATGAAAAGCCTGCCAACCCGCTGCGGCTCTGTGTTGCATGTATATTTTTAGGCTTTTTCACGTAACGCCCACTCGTAAGCGTGGGCAACCTCCGGCACGTTGGGGAGGAGCGACTGTGGCAAAGTACAGGGGAATGCAGCTTTTTATGACCTTATGCAGCATCACATCGCTAAATTTTTACTTGGTATTGAGGTACGCCCATACGTTACCCTCCTGTTGGAGGGTTGGCTCCCTGGATGGAGGCTTGACCCCAACCCCGCGGCGAGCCCTATCGTCCATGGCCAAGCATTTGCCCACCTACCAGGGGCGTAGTTTCGTAGAAGAAGAGTGTGGGGCTTACTACGAGAAAACGAGCATCCCAATGGGAAAATATGCAAAAAACGGAATACACCCAATTTCACCAGCTTTTTTAACAATTTGGGGACAACAGGGCTCTCCCTAGCAACAAAATAAGAAACTGTACTTTTGCTACCCGCATGGTGTCATAACATTCACGCGTGTATCTACACAGTTACCCATCATCGAACCAGATCATCCTCACCCTCTTTCCACTGCCAATGGAAACTATGCACGTAATTCTCCCCATTTTTACTGAGAAGTGTGCAAAACATACTTATTCGAACGAGGTGTGAAAACAGCTCCTCTTCATTCTTGACATTCACTTAACAATATTCTGGGCAACAAGTAAGCGTAACAATAACTTCTTTATCTCACAAAAGCATCAGCGAAGGACCATGCCGTGCTTCCGCTCTCGCTTTTCAAAGCAAGTGACGGTCCACGTGCGCGACATTTAGTTGCTAACACTCAATGCAAACTTTGAAATAAAGGAAACTTGACAAATACAGTGCGGAAGCTGAACTATGACACCATTTCCCCAGCCATGCATCTTCACAAAATTTCGAGGCAAACGTACGACTGTTCAAGGTTTGTTGATTGCTTCATGGGTTCAGGCTGTTGTCATCTCAATGTTGCTATACGTTTTTACACGATTCGGCTGATTAACGTCACCGGGGATACACCTTCATGGCCTTTTCAAACATTCCTGCCCTTTAAGGTAAGACTTTCTGGGATTTTGCGTGTAAGTTGAGTCTATTTTGCTCAACTTCAGTTATTTTCATTCCTTCTGAGATTTATCCTTTTCCATTCAGGCTTGCCAGTAAATTAGAGAACCGCCATGTCGGATTGCAGCACTTTAAGGCGATTTATGCCGACGGGTCCACCGGTTGCCATGACGACGGCCTGACGCTTTAGAGCAGGCGCAAAGGCGGTCGAAGGTATAGTAGGAAGTATGAATCGTTTATTATTGAAAATATCGGAGGTACTGCTATTTCGAATAGTCAGTGATGTATTCGGGGCGAAGGCTGTTCTGTATTTTGCAGTGTGTTGTAAGTGTAGTGCGATATTTGTCTCGGAACGAACCAGTCGCAGTGGAACACATGGTGATTTCTACCTCCCTCCTTTCCATGCACAGTCATAGAGTTAATGGTCAATGCTGTCCGAAGTTGGAGGGCAGGGCCTATTCCTCTAACCTGCCGCCCGCGGTAAGAACCTCTGACGCTCCGACTCCCGGTTGGCGGTTTGTGTGTAGGAAAACGACCATTAGCGTTTGAAAACTGCATTTTTCATCATCTATCTGTCGAATACCACACCATAGATAAATCACAGATGTTGTACCAGTGGCGCACGCTGAGGAGGGAAGGCACAGAGCACGAGCCCCCCTCCCCCCCCCCCGCCTCTCCTCAGGCCCCGAGGGGCCAGAAGGGCCCACCGAGACTAACGATCAAGGACCCGATTGGAAGGCCTGAGGGCACGTAGGGGTGGACGGAGTCTTCAGAGGCCCCGACCTGCGGGGACGGGTCCTCAGATGGCAATCAGAGGGTCCTTCGCGCCTTTCGGGGGGCCCCTGAGTCGACAAGGGCTTACATGTCGGTCAGACATCACCAGTACCGCGCAATTGGCTCCGTGTTCACATGGGCCCGAGAACCCTCTTCTAAAGCAGCGACAAGTTCGAGGCCAGTGATGTACACTGGTCGGGGCCCCTGAATCTATCAGGGGCCCACAGTGTCTACTAGAGGGTCCTGTGTTGGTAAGTGATCCTAAGTCGGCCAAGAGCAGTGTTTAAAGAGGCCCAAAGATGGGTCCGGGGGCTCGCCGGGGCCGGCGATCGAGAGCCTGATTGGAGGGCGTGAGGGCCCGAAGGGCTGGCTATAAGTCACATCGGGGTCCTGGCCCGGCACAGCCCGTGGGGCCGTAACCTGAAATATCACAGGATCCTGAACACCAATTGAGGACCGTTTGAAACAATGCAGGTGTCTTTGCTGCCCGGAGACAATTAACACCGAACAGTCGGCTCCGTGTCAGTCGGAATCCTGGGAGCCCATTTCTCAAGCGAGAGCAAGGCTGAGGTTCGCGATGTGCATCAGTCTGGGTCTTTGAAGCAATGATCGTGGCACTATGTCGGTCATGGGTCCACGGTGCCTAACAGGGAGTTCTGCGTCGATAAGGAACTCCGTGTCGGCTAGGGGAATATTTTCTGAACAGGGATAGTGACGGGATGCAGAATGCCAGAGGGCATTTGGCGTTGGTCGGGGCAACAACACAGCATTTCTTCAGCTTCCACTCAGCCTCATTTTGTGTCAGCCCAATAGGTTTAGATGTTCATAAAGTTTCACTCAGAATGGCACGTTAGCGCTCTGCAAGCTTCATTTCAACATCCCGTGAATTGGGGGTACTATGATAGCTGAGTTCAAAATTGCACGTACCAGTGTTTGAGCACTTAGCCTCACCCTGTGCCAGGTCAGTTCTAAAACGAACGGTGTAGCCGGACGAGACTACATTGGAAGGAAGTGGGCTTGACTACGCCTGTTGTGAATGTGCTAGGCATTAAACAAACGTGACGGGTGGAAAAAGCTACGCACGTTTCGCGTCACTAACAGTCTGGCAGCCCGTGCTGTGTGTTTTTCACTGTCGGAGCTTTTTCCATACTCAGGCCTGAATTTATCACCGGAACGTGAGCAAACCTGTCTGACTTTCGACGCATGAAGTTTCATGCTTAGCACAGAGCTAACCGTCTGAGCTGGCGTCGGGATCGCTTGTCTACTGTGTCAGGTGTCTCAGCTCCTGCAGATTACTCGCGACCAGCAGCGCGCCTAGACCGAGGGTGTTCAGCCGGCAGCGACTCAGTCACTTGAACATAGCAACTCAGCCAGCATCGACTGGCCAAGACCCGGTGGAGGGATTGGAAGTCGCCAATACTGCCGCACTGCGCTCCATCAGCCGGAAGACCTATGCATACGTCCAGCATGTCATGAACGTCCCCCACTTCTAAACAGCACGTTATCAGGGTGGATGCGTGGCTTCCAAGTTCCAGCTCGATGCTGGCATCATCCATGCGGCGCTCCGGTTGCTGGAGCCGGCGCTGAAGACAATGGACCACCTCGAGTGCAACTGATCTTGCTTCTGCGTCAACGAGATGACATTTCATGGCCGGCAGTCGTATAACCAAAGCAATTTATCAAACGAAGAATATCGTTGTTTATTGATCCGCTGCATTCAGTGTGAATGGCCAAAAGCTTATGAACGTGAATTGCGGTGCGCCCTTGCATTCGGTTTTAAGCTCGAGCAAGTTTTGTCTGGTATATGCTGGGCAAATGTGGAGCAAACTAGCGGAACCCTTCGCATCATGAAACAGGCAACCGCTAGGGCCGAGCTATGGCAAATAGCTGGGCCCCAGTGTGCATTGACATAGCTGTTCCCGTTGGATGGAGCCGCACGAATGAGCCTTGCCAGGTCCAGGTCGGGAGCCCTGGCCGAGGAGCTTGAGGCACCTTGCAAGCTTCTCGCGCTGTTATACCCGACCGCACCTTGGAGATATATCAGCCAGGGGGTGGGAGATACGCCCGTACTCGCTTCGGCCCACTGCCCGAGGCCTTACCGACATGGCCATGTTGTATCGCCGTGTGATCTGCCCGAGCGAGGCCCAATCTAATGCCAACGGGGGCCCAGAATTACGGTGGATTCGCTTGGGTTAAGCTCTCGAAGAGCGGCATTTGTGACGCACAAAGTAAAGTGGCATCTCGGGGCTGCAGTTTTGAGTCTTTCAGACGCTTCTGAAATCATAAATAATTATTTGTGATAAGTGCTTCTCTGGCGTAAAATGCGACCGATCGTCTTCAATAGCTTGATTCCTGGGTCCTTTATTACCGCCTTCGCTCTTGTACTACACTCAAAACCAGGCATACTGTGAAGTGCATTCATTTCTTCATCTTTACCTTGATTTTACTAATCAGTCCACCCACGAAACGTGTTGTAATACACGCGGTCACTCACGTTCGTTACCATGCGTGCGGTTGTCCCGGAGTTAAAGGTGCACCCCAGTGACGTCACACAGAGAGCTTTGATTAGAAGTGCGAAGTGTGATGATAGCACCTGGTATGTATCGCCTTGCGTAGGTTCTGCAAGACGAATGCTCAATAGCACCTGCTTTAGGAGATAAGGTGCTTCCGCGTTTGTACCAAAAAATTTTCATAGCGCGAATAGTGTCATTGGAAACCTCGCAATAAATGTAAATGTAGTCACTGGATGAATGGAAGTCCCAATTGAACTGGTTCCGGTATTTGAATGTTCGCCGAACCCGAATACTTCGCAAGAAATTCGAATATGGAAGAATTTGAATTTAATGCTAAGATATTTTAGGACTCATGGAATGACTTTAATCAGTGGGATATTTTGATCCACGAGGACCTAAGTAACGAACAACGCTTCAGAGTGTAGTATGGGAGCACTTTTTGCGTGCGCGCGATGGACAAGCGGCGGTCCTCGGGCCGCATATAGCACGCGAGCGCACCTGAAACGACCCGCTAGAGTGGTCGCAGATATGCTTCAATGCAATCTAACGGGAAACAAAATGGGTCAAGTCCGCACTTGGACTGCACATAGTGCGAACTCAGATCAGAAGCCGAAATGGTGAGGGTGGTTTACAAAACAAAGTCGAACATCTTACGGTGTGTCCCGCTTGCGTCAACCAAAATCGGCCATTTTACGGTTCAGGCGAACACTGCATTTCACGAGACCCTAGAAGTTGTCCATTCCTGTCTCTTAGGTTCTATAGCTCGTTTTCACGATTAAGATGAAGGGAGGAGGATGTATAGAATCTTCCCATTAGCACAGACAGCACAAATTCTTCTCTCCGGCATAATCAAGCCTAGCCTTTTGAATAGAAAAACGTTACGCTGGTAATATCACGACGACTGCATCTAATTACATGTGCTATCGTTCATTTTGCTCTGTGCGGATTATAACCATTTCATTCACCAAACACTGTAACGCACGTAAATGTTCATTCTGAGCGCATCATCTCATGGTATCAGGGCATTGTACAGAATGATTTCGCTATAACTGACCGAAATTTAAATAATTATATAAAATTGTCCGGCAATACATATCAAGGATGGACCCACGACCATTATCAAGTGCATCGCATTTACTAATCAGACTGCGCAATGGGGCATAAATCCAGATAACAGGGGTCTAAATAGACGTTCGCTATTTGCGGATACGCTTGACTGGCATAATACAGCATCCCTGTCCTTTCAATGACTCGAAGCTGCTCATGGTCATAAAACGCTGCGTTCTCCCAGTGACACGTTCGGCGCACCCAACCATAAGACGTCCTTAAAACGTACGCCGCCGGTCCGCGGTTGGGCTGGAGCTCGTGTCGACGCTGTCTGGCTGCCTCAACTCCCATCCGTCTTCCGTCGGACAAGTGTCTATTTATACGTCAGTGATCGGCGAGCGGTCGGAGTTGGCTGCCGTGGTGTTCCGCCGGATTTATCACCTCGGCCGGCGGCGTGATGAAGTGGGCCATGTCCGCGTTAAAAGCACGCCAGCCGGCGACGGGACATCAACCACGAATCGCGCGCAGAGGCGTTTACAGATGGACAAGAAGCACAGCGTTATCCAGTGCACGGCTCAAATATCACGATAGGTGCTGGTAGGCGAACTAGGATAATGTCTGATATTTGCTGGTGGAACTCCTCAAATATTATTGCGGGATCATCAGAGCACGACCCATCACTGCAAGGGTAAATACTTGTTAAGACACTGTAGGGCTGCGCAGTTCCCAACGCTGTCTGAAGATCACCGGGCTCACACAGACTTGCTCTATTCATAATCAGTTTAAATGCGGCCGTTGTAAATCCACGTATGCAATTTTCGGTCATACAAAGATCCCGCTGAAGTGTCTCATACTGGAACGTGTTATTGGCTGTTGTTACGTGTATAATGCGCGCAATTGCACAAGACAAACCAATCAGCGGGACGTACCATCAAGCAGCGTCAGGTCATCTCAAGGCACCACGCTGCTCACGCCATGTTAGAACATCACACCGCTCACGTCATGCTAGAACATCACACCACTGACGTCACGTTAGAACATCTCATCGTCTACGTCATGTTAGAACATCACCACCACGTACGTCGTCCTCGGAAATCACGCCGCACATCATGTTAGAACATGACACTGTTCACGTCATCTTAGAACATCACACCACACGGATGTTTCGCCACAAAGGTATTCGAAAGCAACGATGGAATGTATCGTGCAGGGAAAGCAGTGCCGGGCTTCGTATCGTGCCAGACTTCATCTGGCAAAAGAAAAGGTCACTCCCATCTAGTGAAAAAGGCAGCACGCTACCAACAGCCTTGATAACTGTTCAGTCCACGTGAACTGCGGAGTGCATATGTGAGTAACATTATACACATACATAGGACAGTACTGCCAGCCTCATTCCTCGCCGGATTACCAGGAGAAAGGAGAGGTAGGTGCATATGGATACGTATACGATGCGATGATGCACGCGTATCATACGTGAAATCGTTTGCATGCATAAGTGGTTTCTGATGCGTGATGCCTATTTCTCGAAATCGCCTGCATGTATGAGTGACGTGTGATGCATGTATGCTGGAGTTTGTTCGCGCGTGCACGTATTTTTGCGTATTTTCATCCTTACATATGCGCAGTATCGCGCTAGTGGCTGGTATTTGTTCCTTGTTAATCCCCGAATGTCAGTGACCTGTAAAACCGTGGCTCGCTGATAAACAAATCTGAAAAACCGAGTGGAATCGGTAGGCATTTTTGAGTTTTGAATTAATTGCTCATATTCGTTTTGATAAAGGCGTGTCACCGAAATATTAATACATCTACATCTCCTTTATCTCGGTTATTCGATGGGAAATTAGGCTGACAGTGTTGTCTTAATTGCTCACTTCAATAAATTCAGTCGGTCTAGAGCCACGCACTCGATCAATCCGTCACTTGACTGATAACAAGCGATATGGCCCTGATCAGACCAGAGAAGGAGGGAATAACAAGCTCATGACATAGTGATCGCGTTGGCTTTTAAAATGAGCTCTTGCTAAATACAACCCATATCGCACCCGATTAGATCTAGTGGATGCATCCTTGCCTTGAACAATTCAAAATCAAATATTGTCATGGCATGATCTATCAAGTCTGGACAAAGAAGCCTCGTACAAAGAGTGAGAGCCGAGCCTATCTTTGCGGTCGATTCTGTTCAGCTTGCACCAGTCGCAAGGGCGTCAAAGCGCCCTCAACCTCCGGCTCGCTCGTCTGAGATCCAAACAACAGGTGTAAACCTGAGAACTATCTTATCAGAAGGCCACGCCTCTCCCGCTGCTTTCGTGGAAGATCAGCACTGACTCGATTGCGATGCTTCGATACTGACCTGAAAAGAGGTTGGTCATCCACTTTTTGGGACGATGCTACGTCAATGCATGAAGGTAAAGGTATGCTGGCTTACTAGGGATCGTGACATTCATTAGCAGGAAAAAGATCAACGCTAGGCAGTCTGCTTCCCCGGTAACGCTCGATGTTCCGTGTTCCAACACTGAATAAACAAGCGCACGCTTCATGTGCCAACTACGTCACCTTGGTTACTGGGGTCATTTCTGGATTCAATAACACCGCCGGCAGCCCTCTCCACAAAATGCCATTTGTCGCCGCGAAAGAGGACACCACGCCGGCGGCGGCGACTCGTTCCGTTTTAGCCGCCGCGTCAAGATTTCGCGATCGCTCCGCCGCCGCCGGGCACGAAAATGAGCCGGGTTATGCGGAACAGCATGCGACCGGGGCAGCTCGCCGGCGAAGTTTGGCCCGGGCCGCGGCCGGCCCCTCCCCGTGGGGGGGGGGGGCGACTGGCTAGGCCGCGGTCTGTCGGCTCAGACGGTCTGCCGGGGCGCCGGCGGGTGGTGCGACGCGGACGTGGTGCGTTGCGAGGAGCTTTGGTGTCTTGCCGCCGCGGCAGCAGCGGCGGTGGCGATGGCAGACTGGCCAAGCTGTGAGCAGTGAGGTGGGCCGGCACCATGTTCCGACGGAGCGACTGGGACGGGTCTCGCGCCGGGGTCAGCCTGTTGACCGCCGCCGTACTGCTGTTGACGCTCGGTGCCGCAACAGGTGGGTTCGCGTCGAACTGCCGACGGACTGGGAAGCAGCGTTGAATTCAAGGTGCCGGAGACACAGCGCAGTTGTCTGTTCTTCGCACGCATTTGAAACTAATTTGGCGCAGATACTGCGAAGAAGCGTCCAAAATGACTAGAAATGAAAAAAAAAACATGGAAAATGTCATGAGTACTGATACCTTCCGAGTATTTGCGCTACACGCTCCATATTTCCCGCTTCAGGCTTGCACTGCGGGTTTCACATTTTTCAGGCATGGATACTGGAGCGTATTGATCACGCGATGCTGGCAGCTCAGCGTCATTGTCTGGTCGGTGGTCGTGGAGATGTGCCAAACCGGGCTGTGATGCGCTCATCTGTGGAGCCCGATCATGATCTCCGTCAAAGCGACAATGTGTGGCCAGTTATCAGTGGTCTTGTAGCGACTACATGTGCGGATGACTATCAGTAAACTCCACAATTTTGACAAGGGCCTGTTGCCGTGGACTACCAAGCAACATGTACTGAGAAATGCAAGACGTGCTGCTATTTTCGTCATGTCGTTCTTGCACGACATCGGTCGATGCTAACGTCGGACGCTGCTCGTCCTGGAGCGATGGCTAGTTCCCCCACTCCCTCGCTATGTTTTACTCTGGTAAGAGGTCCACGGCCGGTTGATCTGCCAATGGTCGACCCACCACTGCCGCCACCGAGGAGTACGGCCCGCCACTGCTGCCACTGGGGAGCACGGCCCACCACTGCTGCCACTGGGGAGCACGGCCCACCACTGCTGCCACCAGGGAGCACGGTCCACCACCGCTGCCACCGGGGAGCACGACCCACTACTGCTGCCACCGGGGAGCGCGGCCCGCCACCGCAACCACCGGGGAGCACGGCCTGCCACTACTGCCACCGGGGAGCACGGCCCACCACCGCTACCACCGGGGAGCACGGCCCGCCACCGCAACCACCGGGGAGCACGACCGACCACTTTTACTGCCGGGGAGCACGAACCATCACCGCAACCACCGGGGAGCACGAACCATCACCGCAACCACCGGGGAGCACGAACCACCACCGCAACCACCGGGGAGCACGCCGCGTCTATCACTGTACGGGCGGAACAGAGTCCGTCACAGCATGTTGTCAGGGCTCAGTGCAGCGGATAGGCGTGCCTGTGCTATTCAAAAATGAGGTAATTGTGAGTCTTGGGAAAATAATGCTGTGACATTGGTCGTTATTGCATATATATATATATATATATATATATATATATATATATATATATATATATATGTATATGTATATATATATATATATATATATATATGTATATGTATATATATATATATATATATATATATATATAATACAGTTGTGGAGGACTGGCAACTCCCTCTCGCCCCTTCGTTCTCATCAACTTTGCACCTACTGGACGAAATTTGAGAAGCATCTTCGCCCTAATTTTGTGAAGCTGCGCAGATGATATGAAACTTGGGTTATGGACCGCTATCGGGTCTTGTTTGTGGCTATTCGGTAAAGCCGGTAAGCGGCCGCACAGCAAAGGTCACTGTTAGGCGGCTCCCAGTTGTGTGGCGAAAGCTGGCCTTTAAATGCCTGCGCACATCCTTAGAATTTTGGGACGGTTCACGCTTCTAAGTAGATTTCTCGAAAAAAGATGTTAAGCATGCAGGAGAATGTTAGACTCCAGCTGCGTTTCCCGCCGCGCCGACCTTCGACCGAGCACTCATTCGGTTCGCCTGATGATGTGTGTGGAGGTCCCGTTGTTTGTTGGCCCAGTGCTGGCTACATGTTGTTCCTTCCTGCGAAGTCGTACGTATGAAAACGAAGTCAGTGATGAGACTTGATTCCATATGATCTGACCCGTACAAACTTTTGCCCTTACGACTTCCATCCCGCATTATCATTATCTCGTACAAGTTTTCGTTATGCGATCTTTATCCCGTGCGATATTTCCCATTACTACTTGTACTACACCATTTATCGTGGTCCTTTAACATAACTCGCATACCAAAACGATCTTCATCCATAAGATGCTGCCATTGCGATCTTGTATTGCTACGATATGTTTGAGCGCTGGATGACTGCTGTAATCGAAGGGCCATAATGAAAATGTTCCACATTTGAAGTTATCGAAGCAAGCATCAGATGTGACTAAATAAGCTCACCTATAGCTTGAGGGTAGAGGGTATAGCTTAGCAACTAGAAGGTTTTAGATTAGATAGAGGGTTTTAGAGTAATAGCGTGGCTTGAACTGCACCAAATTTTCTTCAAGGTGGCTATTTCGGCTCAAAACCGCATGCAAATGTGGAATTCTCCCTTTTAAGCGAATTTTGGTCTGAAATAGCAGTTTTGGAGGTACTTCGGTGCAGTTCACAGTCCTGCCCTTCTTAAGAACGAAAACCTTCTATTTCCACAGCTACACACCACAAACATATCCAGACTATTTCTTACAGACTATGTCAAGGTCATCTAGGCATGCATGACGCCATATAGAAATGTCATTCAAATTCTGCCACCTCTCAGGCCAGACAGCGTTCAAGGCCAGAAAGAACATCTTCGTCCTGCCTTTCAGATCTGGCGTCTGTGGGCACGATTTCCAAATATAGTGGACGTCAGTTGGCTCAAATAATGTTGAGCAAGCCGTGTAATCTTCAATCACGAACGACGTTTTGTGCTACATGATATGAGAAGCTTGGCATGCTTTCTCAACTAGTTAACTAGTTACGGAAATTTTACCTGGAAGCGAATCGCTTAGAAATAACTTCATGATCGAGTATGTGAATGCATTTAAACATCCTAAACCCACCGATAAATATGCAAGAACACCACGAGAATAGGCCAATACAAGAGCTCATAACGATATTTGGTTCAGGGAACACTTTCAGTCTGTGCTGCTGTCTCTCGACAAGTTTGAAGGATCATAAGTAAGTGGTAGTTCCGCACGGCGAGTTTGGCAGTACCGCAACGTCATACAAACGTTCCATGACGCAATCAAACAATGAAAGGTTCCGGGGCATATTTAATAAATACAGAAATTGTGTCGTTCAGAGCAGTCTGTCCCACTTGAAAACACATCAATAGTTATAAGCTGGTTTGTTTCGTGGTATCTGATGCTTGATGTAATATTTTCAAGTGTGGAACACTCTCGTTAATAAACTCTCGCTATTTTTGTTGGTGATATTTCTCGTCATATCATCTCTTGCTTACATTTTTTGCCGCACGATATATCGCCCTTCGATTATGTCTCATGCTGTTCTGAGTCCGGTTACTCATCGCCATGCCGACGCGAGAAGGCAAACCCAACGGGTGCGTCGATGAACGACATACAAGCAAACTAACCGACGCCTAGGCTGTGCTCGCAGTAGGGAAAAGGGTTCGGCTCGTGGCGCGCCGGGCGGGCCGACCCCACACTCGACGTCCGGGTGCGGAACTGGCGCGTCTTTAGTCTCAGACAAATACTCCCGTGGAGCCCAATGACACAGCTGACAGCCCGCTCCGACGACACGTGGGAAGCACATCGTTTGTTTACCATGTATGCAATGCCTCAGTTTATCGTGAGTGTCCCAGATTTCCTCCGATTGTTCGTCAATGCCATGCTAGGAATGCCGTGGATATTTTGATAGTCGCTGCCCTGCTGCAAGGAACCAATCATAGCCCCAGGAGTGCGCTAAAATTGACGAGCATTCCTGTGAGGCAGATAGGTCAAGTATGTGCACTCACTGCTTGAAATATGGAGTGCGCGAGCCAAACCATGCTCATGCAATAGCTGAAGTGAATATGTTGGTATGTGCTTCCCTTTTCTTCACAGCTTACGAGGTGGATGCGTGGTGTATGTACAATGTATAGCGCGAACATCACTGTGTCTGGCCAGAGATCAGCGGTCGCCCGGCAGGTCTCCTTCGGACGATTGTACGAGGCCGTCTTTCATGGCTCTGGGCTCCCCCCCCCCCCCCCCACCTCTCGCAGTTAGGCCGGGGTGAGCGGTCTCAGCCGGCGGTCACTATCGCGTGCCACGCCCGCCAGTCCCTAACAGATTGACCCGTCCAGGGGCGCAGTACGTTCATCCGCAGTAGAGCGGATACGGGAATGTGTCTGTGATGTGATCATGTCTGGATTTCTGGCTGTCTACCTAGTTAATGCTGCGTAACTAGGATGTCGGCAAACCCAGAGGCCTGTCCAGTTTAACTAGCGAGTGCGTTCAGTGCTACCTGGGGTCGGCTCGTGCCTGTTGCGGTGTGACAAGGGTCTGACTCGTCCGGACTCAGTGCAGTACTGACTTATATTTGACTTCGAATTACTACAGGTAGGCATTGAATATTAGAAACAGGCTTGCGATATCCTGAGATCATTGAACAGAGAACAGCCTTAGTACAGCACTGTACGCACATTTATGTCATCCAGTAAGTTAAATGCGCAGACGCGGCCGCCGCCAAGGTGGAGACGCCATCCCGCATGCTGCGCCGGCACGCCTGTCGTCACGTGACGTCTTGCGTCTGGTTCCACACGCACTCAAAACCCCCTCTTTATATAGGTATGATGTGCAGCGAGCATGAATGCAACATGACTGAAGCCCTGCTCTTTGCGTTCGGTATGTTTAAGCCATCCGGCCAAATAGGCATGGAGGGGCATTGCTGCCTGCCTGTTTAAGGGAAGGGGACATTAAGCACCGTATCGGCTAGAATCACTAACGAATTGTCTGAACTGAGTGACTTCGTGTCACGCGATAACTTTTTCACTTGGCACATTACATAGCCTTACACTCGCCTGATTGCGGTCGTTTAATGGCTCCGTACTCAATTATCTTCACAACTGTGCATTTCGGACTGATTGTGACATGTCGGCCGGGCTTTTACCGGTAAAATCATCGTCACGCAGCCCCAGTGGCTGAATATTGCAAATTAGGTCCTTGGCAGCTTTCCTTCAAAGAAGACCAGCATTTAGTGGGGTTTTGTAGTGGACAGAGCCATTACATGATTCTATTTTTTCAATCTTTT